GCCAGCTTACTAAGTATAATATATTGAAGACATCTATTACTACTCAAAAATTCACTTCATGGAAAAGGTACAACTATATTTATTGAATATAAATCTTTAAATATAAAGTAAGAAAAACTACATTCAAATAAACTAAACATAACTCTTTAACATCACATAGCTCTTTCTAAACATAACATAAGAGAAGAAACATCCTCTAACCAAAGCAAAGATATAACTAACTAAAAACAGAAACACCCACTTCCTTCTAGCTGAGATAACAGGAAGTGACCCAACTTCCCACAGGAAGTGACACAGCCAAGAGGAAAATACTGTTTACCTTTCTATTTGTTTACATTTTCCCAACAATTTCCAGGGCTCGAAAAACCGCCCGTCCGCCAGTCCTCGGCGGTCAAAAATTCCCCGCGGACAACGAATTTCTCGAATCCGACGTCCGCGCGGACGGTCATTTTCTCGTAATGTTGCAATTATGAACATCTACCTAAATGGAAAACCTCTTTCAGATTTCTGTGCAGAAACTCTGTAAATCATTGGCTTGATTGTGGAACTGGCAAACGTCATATTCGATTCATTAGAAAAACGCAGTACCTTCGGATAAATTGACATTCCAGATAACTTGACCTTTGTCATTTAAATTATTTCATAAAAGAAATAAATTATTTCATAAAATAATTACTAGGTTTTGCTATTTGTAACCTAGTATTTCTCTTATTACTGTATAATGTAATCCTAGTAACTACTAATTCATTGTGCAATTTATATAAACGTTTGTAATAAATAAGAGAAAATTATATTTTTATTAATTTAGAAGCGACGGGTTAGTTTCAAAGGAGGACGGGTACATTGATTGACAAGCCGTCCTCGGGGACGGGTAAAATTTCTGAGTTTTTTCGAGCCCTGGTAATTTCAAAACCTTGTAGAAATGTGTAGCAATAATTTCTAAAATAACGATTGAAAAATAATTTGATTTGAAATAAAATCGTTACAAATAAGCCATGTCAAAAAATGGTTATCTAAATGAGCGATTCTTTACTCACGATTCGTAATAATATCGTGCTAAAATATCGAAGTTTTAAAAACCGGGCGGATATGTGCAGCAATAACTGTTGAAGAAAGGATCTAAAGTCATTTAGATTTTCCATGAAGTTTGCACAAATAAAGCGTTTCATAACTTTCAGAAATCGCTATTTCAGAAACTACTTGAAAATGGGTAGCGATAACTACCGAAAAGTCATTGGAATCGGCACATACGAAAAGCGTCAAAAGTGGTAATTAAAATTCGTAAATCGTAATAATCATGTATTAAAAATATTGGAATTTTTAAAACTGTGCTGAAATCCGCAGCGTTAACCATCGAAAAACTACATTGATTGAGATTGGGTGCGTCAAAAACTTAAAAGTGTAAATTTAAATTACCGAATTTTTTTTATTATTTTTCAAAAACAAATATTTATTTTTTTTCATTTCGTTCAGATTGCGGCCGCGGGCCGCACATCGAGGATTGGCGGGCCGCAGGTTGAGCACCCCTAGCTTAGAAACATATTTTAAGATTAACTTCACCCAGACACTTTCACTTAAAATTTTACATCATTGGAAAATTACACATTCAGTTTAAATTTTTACTTTTAGATTTGAGGAAAATATTTTAATACAGTAGAGTCCGATTATCCGATCACGATTAACTTGGATAACCGAAAAACTCAGTTAAATCGAAGAATATAAAAAAGGAAAAAGTAGGTATAAATGTAATATATTTAACAAATACAAAATTTATAAGAGTACACGACATACAATTCATATTATAATTAAAAAGTTTACTTAAAAAGCATACTTCACAAGAATTAAAGAGTTTTTACTTAAAAAAGTCCTTTATCTTATTTTGGATTACATTATTTTGGGCTTTTCTGCAACAATGTTTCGCCATCTTTTTTTAGGGATAAGAGGAAGGCTGGTGTTGCCATTTCTTCTTGTTCTATATATTCAATAAGGCTTTCAATAGTTTTTATATGTTGATTTTCATCATCACTGCCTTCATCTTCGCTAAATGAATTTTCATTTTTGACGATATTAACGATCAGTTTATTAGATCAAGTTATCCGATTTTATTTTCCTGAGTGTTTGGAAGATAAAATTCAGATTTTTTTCCGGCAGTAGTTTTAAAAATAAGCTAGAACAAAAAAAATCCTTGAAATAATTGATAGCTCGGTTAAAGCCAACAATCGGATAATTGGGGCTCGGATAATCGGGACTCTACTGAATTTATTTCTGATGCCAATATGAATTAATTTTAAACATTTAGATACTCACAGGATGAGCATGGCAGACTCTTGCAATGTCCTCAGAGGAAGCACCGTATTCCATAGCCAAAACTGCTTCATTGATAATTTCACCAGCTCCCTGATAAATTCATTTGTAGCAAATATAAGATTATGCATTTAAAAACTATAAAGAGTATTTATAGAATAACCATACGATCAAATAATAACAATTATTTTTTAAAGGCAATTATCATGGACTTGAGTATTAATTAATGCAGCCCCACTTACGACTTTCACTCAAAAGTATAATAAAACAAGAAATTTTAGAAATTTATTAATAATCGTAAACAGAAATATCGAAACAAAAATAAACAAAACAGATTTAAAATTTATGACATATTTCATTTAAAATTGATGAAAAAATTAAAATTTGAAATTATAATATATGAAATTACAATATATCAAATTACATTAAAATTTTTCTTAATAATCCATATTAAAAAAAAATTTTTTTTAAATACTATATTAGAGTTACAGAGAAAACAGTCATTTCATGCAAAACTGCGAAACAACTTTTTATTTCTCAAAAAGATTGATGAAATTAAAAATTAATGAATAAATTTATTTTTTAAAAAAATGCAACAATAAATTATTCTAAAATAAATATTTCCAAAATTTTATAAAATTTCATGAGCAATAAAAGAGCAGAAACTGCTTTTCAAATAATGGAGTTTTTTAATGACCTAGTTAATAAAAATTTCAATAGTAAAGTTAAAAATAAAATGACATTTTGCACTGCATGCTTAAATTTAAAAAAGAAATTATAGCAATTACCCAACAAATTAAATGAGCTCCTAAAACCCTATCTGTTTCTTTATCAGATAAAACTTTAATAAAACCATCAGTTTCAGCATTTGTTTTGGCTCGGCTATTTGCTGTCATTGCAAACTTTCCAACTTTATATTGAACACCCTAAAAAAAAAAATTCTTAATTATATACAGTAGACTTCACTACATAATTGGATCATTTCTTAAAAGCAAATTTATATTAATTCATTTCAGCTTTATTTTTTTTTTCTTCTCTAGACAGCAGCATAACAATGAATACATCATCTTTAGCGCAACAGCCCAGGGTAAACCCCTGCCTTCTTTAAGATTCTTTTCCATCCAAACCTGCTCTCAACAACAGTTCTCTGGTTTTTACTGTTCCGTACCAGTAAGTCTTCATCTACAGAATCAGACCATCCGAGTTTGAGTCATCCCCTGGATAAGACCTTCTCTAAGATTCTCTTCCATCCTGACCTATTCTCAGCTACAGTTCTCTAGTATTTACTGTTCCGTTCCAGTAAATCCTCATCTACAGAATCAGATCATTTGAGTATGGGTCATCCCCAGGATAAGATCTTCTCCAAGATTCTCTTCCATCCTGACCTATTCTCAGCAACAGTTCTCTAGTATTTACTGTTCCGTACCAGTAAGTCCTCATCTACAGAATCAGATCATCTGAGTTTGGGTCATCCCTTGGAACGATTCCCAGATGACCTAGCCATAAAAATTCCTCTAGATGTCTAATCATCCCATGACCGTGTTAGATGGCCAGCCCATTTCAATCTTTGAATTTTGATATATTTGGTAATGCTATGTTCTTTATGTCAGCGATAAAGTTCATGGTTGAATCTGGTCAACACCGAAAGTACTTATGGATTTTTCTTCTGGATCTGATAAGCATTTTCTTAAGGATCTGATAAGCACTTTATATAGTAGTGTCTTGGTACTAAATCTAAGGCCACTAGACCTCAATCTATGCAGCCCAAAAACAAAACAGCAGTTGACTGCAATAATTCTTATTTAGACCTATCTCATTTTAAGTGTTAACCTCTCTACCCAGGTATATGTAACTGCCAACTTTATTAAATTCATACCATCCAGTTTCTAGGGAGAGAAATGTAAAACCTCTCAGTACATAACATAAGTTTAGTTTTCTTTTGAATAATTATAAAGTTTGCTCTCGTCGCCTCTATCTAAGTTTAAAAAGGTATATCAAAGCATTCTAAAAATGATATCGAAGTCATCTGCAAAAGCGAGAATTTGAGTAGTAACAAAGAATATATCTAGATCTATAATGATGTAAGGTAAAGCAGGTTAGATAAAAATAAATACACATTTACAAACAAAATGCAGAAAAAAATTACTTCTTTTTTAAGTTCCTCTTCATTTTTACCGACCCAAGAAACTTCAGGATGAGTGTAGATGACACTTGGAACACAATTATAGTCAATATGTACAGCACCACCAGCAATTCCTTCAACACACACAATTCCTACAGGATACACGAGAAATAAATAAGTTCATTTAATAATTATTTTGTATACATGGTTTTAAAAAAGTTACAAAATTAATCTGCTAAATGAGTAAATCATAAATAATAATAATAACACATTTCAACACATTAACATTATTTTTTTTTTCCCATAATACAAATACAGGTTGAAGTCACTAAGAAATCTCTCCATAAAGAACAGTGTCTTGGAAGCTCTCTTTGAAATTTCGTTTGAAAATGCAAAAATACAGATAAAAGTTATAGCTACATATCCACATATTTTGTAATTAGTGTATCAACCATAAAATAATAATGAATTTAAAATTCTCTTAAAACAAAGAGATCAAAATTTGAAAACAAAAAATATTTCATTAAAAAGTATAAAGAAAGAGCTACAATATATTTTATGTATATTTTAATAATTTTTATCTAAGCATAAAAAATGAATTAATTTGAGGCATGAAAAAAAATTGCAGAAGGTCAGAACAGTAATAGCTGTTATAATAGCCAAAACAAAACTGGAAAAAAAAACATACGACTACATTAAATAAAATTTAAAAAAAATTTAGCTTTGACATGTCTACAGTATCACCTCTCTAGCCCACCAATATTATTATTAAACAAATGCCAGACATTGACTATTAGGTCATTAAGCTTCTAGCTCTCCAGTACTTCTTAACAATACAATCAAAGTCTTTTAGTGCAGAGCACGTGCCCAAATGAGCAACAGTCATGGCTTGTCCGGAGTTACATAAAAGACAATCTGATGAAGTAGTCAGCTTGAGGCGAAATAGATGAGAACGTAGACAATCATGTCTGGTCAAAAGTCTAAACATGGCTACCGCAGTAGCAGAGGGAGAATCTGGAACAGTGAGTTCCACAGATGCCAAACAATGAAATGACTGTTTGAAGATTCTTTTTATGTCAAGTTTAGCGGAATGGAAGGACAGATCTCTACACGATCTCTGAAGAATGTAAGTTCCTTTTTTGGCCAAAAAGTCGGCCATTTAGTTTCTTCGAAGACCACAACGGAATGGGATTCATTGAAATACAACACTTCCCACAATCCTCTTCAGGAGTTCCCCACAGCTAGCCAACCAATATTGACTGTATAGATTTTTATCCTTCAATGAGGAACATTTAAAAATATATCCCTCTTCCAAGATTTGTTACTCATTTACGATTTCCAAATGGGGAAGTGCAGTTTAGAAAAAGTTTATAATTAAATTAACGTTGAAATGTATTTTAAAATCAGTTTTTCAAAGCATTTTATAAATTTCTTGAATGTATACATTTAATAAATAAATTTAAAAAAATTATCCCGGAGAGCAGCGTAAACTTAAATGTGAGTGTGGGAACATGAGCTTGGTTGTGACATTTGACGGAATGAGAAATGTATATTCAAAATCATGATGTATTTGCTCCAACAAGAAAATCCTGCACAAGGACATACTAAATAGATAGATAGATTAATAGATACTTTCTTTCCTTTCACAAGCGGATACCTACCTAGGTTAGTAAAGCCCTTACCCGTATAATCCACGTCTGGCCACTATTCCAGCCAACCTCAACCCCGGGAACGTGCTTGAGTAGTGGCAATTATTTAAAATTAGATTAATAGATACTAAATAAAATAAGTATTAAAGCTACAAACTCATTTAAAACTGCAGTCCTAGATATTTTTACAGTCAAAAAGCAAAGAATAAGCACATGCCAACTTACCCTCGTCTTCCGCTTTATGAGCAAGCATAGGTCCAGGAATACAATCCCCAATTGCATAGATACTGAATAAAATAATAATTATTAAAGCTAAGAACTTAATTTCGGGAAAAATAATTATTGACATTTCATTATTTTTCAAATTTTAAAAATAATATAATTGTACTTTTTTACTATCTTACAAATCACATTGATCTTAAAACCAAGTTCAATCATACATGCTAAGTCCTTAAGTTTACATAAATTAATCAAAAGAAATAGTATTAGTGTTTATAGCTATAATTTATAGATTCTAATTATTAATCACAAAATTGCTTTGAAAAAAAAAACTTAAATTTTGTTAAAACAAGAGCAACGATTAAACATTAAGTTAATATTAAAACAAGCAACTTTAAATCTCATTTAAACAGTATCTATTTAAAACGATCAAATGTGCACAAATTAAAAATATTTACACAATGAATTATGTTTGCATCAATAATCAGATTTTTATACATTGAGACGTTAATTAAAATAGTGCTAAATAAAGCAGACAATTCAGATATTCATATAGGCCCTAGAGCAGTGATTCTCAACAACTGTGCCGCGGCACTTTTGTGTGCCGCCAAATTCTTAAGATGTGCCGCCAAATATTAGAAATGATACAATAAAAATTATAATGCTTTTTTTTATTACGAGTAAAGTTTAAATTAAAGAAAAGTGTATATATATAAANAAATAATTAATCCCTTAATAAACGTGCTTTTGAAGTACATATTATTTTATTTCACATTCAAAATTATTATCACAAACTATTTAACACAGGGTATTATAGTTAAGAAAACAACTTTTAAACTAATTTTTTTCATTGTGTGCCGTCAAATTTCGAAATCGTTAAAAGTGTGCCGCCACAAAAAAAGGTTGAGAATCACTGCCCTAGAGCATATTTTCTCTGAATTGACAATTTTTTTTCTTCCATTAAACATATTTGGATTTTTATTTGCTGGAAAATGGAAGTATCTTACAGCATAAAAAATAATGTCACAATAATTTAGACGCAAGTAGTAAGTCAGGGGTCTGTCTAGGTTTTTCTGAGAGATACCTATTTCGTGAAAATTTAGACATAATTTGTGAAAAATTAAAAATTATATTAAAAAATCAACACAAAAATATGGATTTATCGTTTCTTAAGGGATAAAAAAATAAAATTTTAAGAAAAAGTACTTTATGAAACTATCGTTTTTCCTAAAATTGAATTTGTGAAACTACTGTTTTTCCTAAAGTTGAATTTGTGAAGGTACCGTTAAACGGTAGTAAATTCGGCCTGGACAGACCCCTGTAAGGGAACTTTAATTTCAAAAATGTTTCATCCATTTTGCACCTGTTAATAAAATGCACTTAATTAAAGAATTTATTAGTCTTAAAAAACGTTTTATATATTATTTAATACAATAAAAAAAATCAAATAATTTGGGATCGATACAAAAATAACATCCTCCTAAACTACATTATTTAAACTTGCAAAATTAACACTTCAAAACAATCAGTGGAATAGCAATGATGAAAAGTATTTTTAAAAATAATAATTTTTTAAGTTAATTAACTAATCAGGCATTCGCTTAGCATTCTACCCTTTGCCAAATGCGAAAAAATCTTAAATTTTGTGTATAAAATTGTGCTTTGATAGTATTTGGGAGTGATTTTTCCCAGTGGGAAAAAAAAATATGGATTTAACTCGATTCTTAAAATTATGTCAAAATGAATTTTTTTTAAACAAATCAGTATTTTTTATTTGATTACAGTAATTTTGTGCCGCATAACCAATTAGAATTGGGTCTAAATAATATAAGCCTGAAACAAACTACCGTAAAATACAGATTAAACCAAATTAAATAATTCAATGGGGAAAAAAGTACTTATAAAAAATTTTAAGATTTGCATTTGGCGAAGACTTTCGAAAATTGGCAAATACTTTTGATATTCGGCTAATTTAATTTCTAATAATTTGAAATTCTTAGCGTGAGCCCAGCTAATAATTTAGAAACTACTAATATTAAATGATATTTCAGATTGCAGTAAAACAATATATTATATATCATAATAAATGAGAAACTTAATACATAAAAGATATGATCATGCTTCAATGAAAGAATTGTATAAATTTGTTTCTATTGTATAAATTTGTTTTTTTGTTTAAAAATTTTTCATATAATTTCTTTATTAGTAGTAAGGAAAAGAAACAAGTTTGAAACACATTTAAAAATAATCGAAGTGATAAATCTCTTTAAGTTCAGTATCTTAATTTTTAACAACAAAATAATAGTGATATAAGTAGATTTACTTTGGTACATCTGTTTGGAATCGATTATTAACTTTTATTCTTCCTCGTTCATCTTTCTTCACTCCAACTTCCTCAAGACCCAAATTTTCAGTGTAGGGCCTGCGACCAACGCACACTAAAAGAACATCACATTCCAACTACAAGGGAGCAAAATATTTTTTTTTTTTAAATTTATAACATTTATTGCATTAAATCAGTAGATTTAATTTTTTTTTAAATAAAAATTCTCTCTCTTTCATTTACTTGGGGAAATTGTGAGTCTAACTCAAAATCCTGAATATTTCTTAATTAAAATCATTAAAGACACATTTCAAAAAAGTAATGTCTTTATAAATTTAAATCATTGATATTTTCAAAACATGAAATTCTATATAAATTATACGAAATGTAATTTAAATGAACAATCAAGGGTGATTGTGGGCCCAACTCAAAAATCCTGAAAATTTCTTGAGTTTAAATCATTCAAAAAATTAATATCTTTCTAAATTTAAATCATTGAAATTTTCAAAACATGATATTCTAAATGAATAATATGCAGCATAATTTAGATCAATAATTATGTTTGCTTTTATCTCTAATCACATTTATTATTCTGCCAGAAAAAAATATTTACAAATGAAAGAGATGTGAAAAACAAATTGTAGTTAAAATATTTTTAAATAAAATATACAAGAATTTTTATATCTAAATATGATCGATGATTTCATGAAATTTCTGGACTTCGGATTTTCGGACCGCAGTTAGCGAGAAATCTGTACATCCAGATTTTTTTCAGAGCACAATCACCCCTGAATAATTGAGTTTACTTTTATCTCTGATCACATTTATCATTCAGCCAGAAAAAAATATTCACTAATTAAAAAGATGCCAAGTATAAATTCTAATATTTTTAAATAAAATATACAAGAATTTTTATACATAAATATGATCGACGATTTCTTGAGACTGAGGCTATATTGTGAAGGATTGGAAACTACAACAGTATCAAATTATGGTTTCAACTACTTTTCTAAAAAATTGTAGCTGCATAAATTAAACAAATTATCCTAATTTAAGAAAATAAAAATTTGTAGAAATTTCTTAGCCTTACCTCTTCTTTTTTGTTAGGATCTTTTGCCGATTCAATAGAAACTGAAATTTTGTCCCCATTCTTCGAAGCACCGGTAACTTTTGTATCCAGTTTAAACTTGAGACCTTGCTTTGTGAGGATTCTTTGAAAGTTTTTAGCTATGTCTAAATCTATACCAATACCTCCAATGTTTGATAAAAATTCTACTGCTATAACTTCAGCACCTAGTCTACTCCAAACTGAGCCCTAAGATAATAGAGAGTAATATTACCAAATAAAACAAAAATAAATTTTATCTTTTTTTATATAAAGGCAGTATCTTTACCAGTTCCAATCCGATGACACCAGCTCCTATCAACACAAGTTTCTCAGGAACTTTTTCAAGAGATAAAGCACCTGTTGATGAGACAATTTGTTTTTCATCTACCTAAAAAAAAATCACAGAAACTACAAACTTTAGAATGTGATGACAATAAAATTTTAGAAGGTCATAAAATTACAAAAATAGGTTAATGAACAGTTGAAGGTAGACAGAAGAGATTAGTTACACTTTCTTAAAAGTGGCATTTTACATCAAACAGTTCATTTGTATTGTTTCCAGATAAGTTCTTTACAGGTTGATGGAATTTCCACAGCACAAAATTGAACACAGAAACATTTTATTGCCTACGTGAAAATCCAGTTTTTCAGTAAAACATTAACTAAAAATATTCTCCCGAAGAATTGGAAAATGTAATTTATCAGTACTGTTCAAAGCTTTACAATTTAAATAAACATATAAAATGCATAACCCGTATAATAACATACGTAAATAAACATATAAAATTTATAATTATTTCACTGCAAAAAGTTCAAAATACATAATAATAATTTATGCATTAATTATCAAATTCTGATGCATCAGGAATTTCATTTGCAGGGATGCAAACTGTTCCGATTTGGACAAAAGATTTTAAATAGAGGTAGAAAATTAGACATTAAATTTTACAGACTTCTAATTAGTTCTGAAAACACTTCAAAGACCTTACCATGACATAAACGAAACTAAATGGTGTTTCATGGATCTCTGTACTAAAGAATATAGAAAAGAGTTCAGCTTTTTGAATACATAACTAACATAGGAACTGCTCGGTACGGTACGCCATACCAAAAATACAACCTACAGGATGAGTAACATGCTCAAATTTAGCAGAGCATATGTACTAAGATCCAGAATATGTGCACAAGTAGTAAAGTGACAGTCGGAGGTACGTCAACTGTGAACCAGTTGTTGGACAACTCAACATGTATGGTTAGGTACGGTGATCCCGTCAACCGCTATTTTATTCTTTCTTTCTTCATTAAAATGTGTTATCAGGTTCAATTAACATGGATGATATAAATGTATTCTCAAAGAAATATCTTAATAGTACAGTACTGTTTATCAATAGTGTAAAAATACAGAACAGACCAACAATAAGTAAAAAGAGAAAACTTTTCTTCTTCATCCCAACGCTTCCCCAATCCCAGTAGTAGTTAATAGGAGAGAGTGCCAACCAGTTTTAAAAAACTCTGCTGTTGTGCTCCTAAATATAGTTTTCTCCTTCATACACTGCGACTGCAGCACATAACCTTGAAGGATTGGTTTACATTATGTCAATGGAAGCTAGACTTCTTCCCCTATGTATATTCTTTGTCCGTACTATATGATTCTAAAGATATATCACAAACTGGAATGGTTGAAAAAACAGAGAAGCAAACATCATAAATTGAATGCTAAAATCACAAATGTTGCAATTAGTTGGAAAAAATATGTTACATCTCAATTTCAATAAATCTAAAAGAAGTTACAATAAAGGTAAAAACAAAAAAACAATGACCAAGGAAGAAAATATATGACCATCACAAGATTCAAATAAAATAAATTTTTGTTGAATTTTAACTAAGGCATTCATTAAAAAAATATTTTTTAAACTAAATGAAGGTTGATAAACCAGGACCACATTGATGATACAGTGAACAAGCAAGCAAGTTTAAAAATAATAATAAGTGAGAAATTTAACAACACTCAAGAAAACTGAAAAATCAGTATTTCTTACTTCAAGTCCAGGAAATGGGGTAACTTCTGAACCTGTCGCAATCAAAATATTCTTACATTTAATTACATCAGTGGATCCATCATCTTTAATAGCAGTGACTTCATTTTTACCAGTAATTTTACCATGGCCATTATAATGAGTAATCTAAACATACAAAAAAGAGAAAATATATAAATAATCACTGGATAGATAATCAGCAAAATCACTTACAAATAATCAGCAAAAATGAAAATTTTGTTTAACTAAAAGCTGCAGAACACTACAGAAGAAAGATTTTATTAAAAATGTTTAATTTTTATAGAGCTCTATATTGATTCATTCCACAGCGATAAGTTTGGTAAAAAACCAAAAAACTTGGAGATAGAAATCAAAAAATTTTATACGCAAAAACACTCTTTAAATATTTAAAAATATACCTGAAATTTGAGCAAGAAAAAGTATTGTTGTTGTTGTTAATTTACGTAGCACTAGAGCTGCACAATGGGCTATTGGCGACGGTCTGGGAAACATCCCGGAGGATGATCCGAAGACATGCCATCACAATTTTGATCCTCTGCGGAGGGGATGGCACCCCCGCTTCGGTAGCCCCGACGACCTACGCGCGAAGTCGAGCACTTTACGGTAGCACAGTTTAACGAGGACCAATACCAAGAAAAAGTATATAGGAAGCCTTTTTCCACAGAATGATGTTGCCAACGTTAATAAAACGTTGATGTTAATAAAAATATCCATGCAAGATTTTATTTGTTTAACTTATGTGCAGATGAATCTCAATACGTAATTTTTAAATCACCTGAATACAAATTTAAATAATCGTGTGAATATGAATCTCGTTTTGTTTTTAAATTAAATTAATATGGATTTCGATGTCTGAATCGAAATCCACAATCGTGTTTGAATTGGTAGTAAAAAGCTTAAAAATATTTTTAAAAATTTTGTGCATTGGGAAAAAAACTCTTTTTAAATAGGCAGGTTTTTTAGCAATAGTAAAAAATTTTCCACGGTGGTGGCAAATTTTCAGAGAATGACGTCTGCATGTAAATGTATATCATACAGGTCTGCATATCCATTAACAAAAGCTACTCAAAGTAAGACATTTTTCATACGAAACCATCACAGGAATATATATAAGTATTTCAAAATGTCACCACAACCTTATAGAATGAATAAACATCATGGAAAACTTTGACAGTTAAAAATTTTTAATGTACATAATTTATTCAAAAAGAAAATGTGAATTACTTGCCAATAAATACAGATAAAATACCTGCATGACATAATAAACAATGAATTACTTTATTCTGCTTAAAGAGATGAGCTATTCCTCCAGTCAACTGTTTAACAGCAGTACTTTTTTGTTCCATCATTTTACTTAGATTCAAGGAAACACCCTCACCTATAATTAAAATAAACCAAACATATAACAGATAGTCTTGCGATATTTTTTTTAAACATAAATTCAATTTTTTATCAAAGTAATTGATAATATTGAATTTATTTACATTGTTGTGTAATGAATTCTCAATAACATAAATAAGTTTTCACAGATTTTATGATTAAGTAATTTAATGAATGAAATTTCAAAAAGAAAACGTTAAGAGATAAAAAGATGAAAAATATTTATGGAAGTTTGAAAAATACAAATAAACAGTGTTTAAAAGTTTAAAGTTAAATTAAATATATAATTATTAAATTTCAATTTCTGAAAAAATTCCTGAATATTATATGGGGAACTTAAAAGTTCTAATACCAGCCTCTATTGATAAGACAGGTATCATGACAGAATACAGTCTTTGAAACTATCACATATAAATCTCTATTTCACAGCAAAAATTTCTTCTGCATTTTCAATAGCTTAAAAATCAATAGCTTTTAAGAATTTCCCAAAGAATTTTTTTTTAGGTGATTGTGAGCCCAAGTCAAAATTCCCAGAAATTTCTTGAGTTAAAAAACAGTTTAAATTGAAAAATTAGAAAAAAAATTTAAGCAAGTTTTTTTTCTCCTTTTTCTCAATATTTCTTGGTTTACTTAATATATATTTAAAATTCCACACATGCCTATACCATTTACATATACCTATGATGACCTGGAGAAGTAATTAAAATTTACAAATATGTCCTTTCTCGAGTTTATAATAACTATTTACTGATAAAAAATGAATATTAATCATGAATATAAGCTTATAAAGTATCTGTCTCTCTCTTACAAACAAATAAACTGTGCTTTTAAGTTCCACCTTGAATGAATATTAATCATGAATATAAGCTTATAAAGTATCTGGCTCTCTCTTACAAACAAATAAACTGTGCTTTTAAGTTCCACCTTTGAAAATTTGATTTTCGGAAACTTCTGCAATCAATGATTTTTTTAAACGTCTGGACCTTCGATCTCCGGAAACTTCCGGATCACTGCTAGAGAAAAATCCGGATTTTTTCCGGAGCACAATCGGCCCTGATTTATAAAACTATCACCTTCTATAATGTTTTAGAAAATAAACTTTCAATTTCCACTTCTCAAACGCACAAAAATAAAGTACAAGAAAAATTAACAAGCGAAATAGTTTTCTGCAAAAACTTTAAAGTTTTCTTAATTTTGATCTTTGCTTATTCTATATGACAACAACTATAAAAAATTAAATACTTTAACGTTAAATTTATTGTGTAACATGAAAGTTTATTTTTTGCGATTTCACAAAAACAAATAGATTTTCTTACAATCAATGCCTCTATTTTTGAAGTCATGAAGTGCTGCATGGTACAAATGTGAATTGTGAAGTAAAGCTTTTGATGGAATACAGCCTACATTCAAACAAGTTCCTCCTAGAGTAGCATTTTTTTCAACACATGCTGTCTGAAAATTTTAAAATAATGTTTTTAGCTCGAGAATAAAATAGAAATATATGCTATTTTATAATGTAAACAACCTAAACTAAATGCTGTTGTAATAAAACTAACTATTATTTATTGAAAACAATATGCTTATGCTAAATTTGAGAAAAAAAGAAATAAAAAGCCTTTTTTGATAACATGCGTTTCACAATGAGCAAAATAAATTTTTGTGAATAATTTGAAAAAAATACTTAAATAACTTTAATGAAAAATTTTTGTAAATAATTTGAAAATGAATATTTGTATCTTTAAAAATATATTCTATAAGAAAAATTGTAAAATGGCCAAAATTTTACAAAATGTAAATTATGTAAATGTTATTGGTTTAATTAGAATAAAAACTAGAATTATCTACATTATGCAAAACTTAAAACAAAATATTGAGTTAAACGCATATTAGTTACTATCCATTACCAATACAAATAACAAATCCTGCTCTAAAGCTGTTCAAATGGTTAAAATAAGTCAGACAAAAAGTGAAAAAAGGACATTATGATCTTAAGATATCTATCTACGAAAAGAAAACAAACCTCTTAACAATATCATTGTAATATGAAATCAAACTTTTCGCAAAAGTGAATACAATATAAATATATATAGTAACGAAACTAAGAGCATTAGCTTTTCAGAACAGAGCAGTGAACACTGTTCATCAAAAAATTTCTCAAGCTATAATTCAAGATTCTCCTCAAGCAAGAATGTTAAAGATTTTTTTCCCTCATCTTTAGAAAAGAAAAAAAAAAAAAGAATAGTTAGTTTTTAGTTGAGAATTTAGATTTTCTTATTAAAGGAGTTATTAACTAAGTTTTGAAATAAAATTATTTAAGAACTAGTGCCATATTTCTATAATTAAGGACACTACAATATACAAAACATTATAATGAATATAAAAGAATATTTAGATACTAGATATTTTAAACACAAAAATACAGTCAATTCAATAGCATATACACATTGCCTTCCATGATTTAAGAAAATACAAAAAAAAGAGAAAATTGAGCCTAAAGTTCATTAAATGTAATAAATTAGAAGAATATAAAATCTCTACTAAAAATATAGTACATTGCAAACACCCACAAAAATATTGCAAGTAAATGCTTAATATAGTGAAAATGATTCTTTTATTTATAATTAGACCTTTTTAATAGCATTAATATAAGACAGAATCTTACCCAAATCATGGCATAAATTCCAATACAAAAAAAAAAAAAGCTAAAATCTCAAAAAGAAAAAGCATAGCTAGATAGAATTTCAAGCTGATTTTGTCAGGAGATATAATCTGTTATGAGCAAAATATAAGTAATATATTTTAAACCAACATTAATCTTAACATTTTATAGATAGTATCAAATGCTAAACTACAGATAAAGCAGATTATACGCTCCTAGAATATTGGAAATTTAATCTACCCACACAAATATAATAGAATAAACAATTCGTTATTAAACATAAACTAGTATTCGTTACCAGAAAATTATTTAATATTTAACAAACCTTCAGGCCTAGCTGAGAAGCTTTAATTGCAGCTACATAACCACCAGGGCCAGAACCAATTACAACTAAATCAAATTCACCTTATGAGAAAGGAGAAACATTATTATACAAACAATCACAAAGAAAAACATAATAAATTCTGATAGAAGATAGTATCAAGTAGGGATGTAACGAATATTCGGCCACTATTCGGTATTCGGCCTTTTTGTCGAATATTCGGCCGAATAATGAAGTTATTCGGCTGAATATGAATATTATTAGATATTTGGCTGAATAAATTCATAATAATAAAGAAAGATATTTTTTTAAATGTGCTTTTAAATATATTTAATCATGAATATTGCAGAATTACATTTCACTGCATTAATTATTAGAAAATCTAACATTTACTCAATTTAAGTTGTATAATACATAAGTGTATTTAATAATGTTACATAAATAAAAACGTTTTCTTGTTGCAAAGTTATCATCATATATATTTAAACAAGCATTGGAATCTTTCACATTAAAATACAAAAACATATAGTTTGTTAAATAGAAGTGTGAATACTATCTGAAATATAGAAAGTTTAAAAAAGCAAATTTGTTAATATTTATTTCATTTTTAATTTAAAATTTGAAAATTACTTAAATTACAATCAAGAGAGAAATATTTAAAAAGTAAGTATTCGGCCTAAAATTTGGCCGAATATTCGGTATTCGGCCCCATCACTATTCGTTGCATCACTAGCATCTTTTAAACAAACAGTTGCATCTTTTAAACAACAAAAATATTGACATTTTTTATAGGGAAATAGAATATTCACACACAAACATTATTAAGTGTAATAATATAACTTAGCAACAAATTACAGAAGATTTCTTTCATTAAATTTCATTACTAACAGTAGTAACAATAGTTAATATGCCTATAGATATACAATTAAATATTTGGACAAAACATAATGAAGTGCTTGAAAAATTTTATACCAGTAAATTAACTATTTAGGAATAGCTAAAACTTTTGAGAAAACACAGAGTAAAATGTGCCTTTTGGGACCATCAGTCTTTCGGGCATTAAAAATAGAAGAAGCAAAATAAACAAACTTTTTCCAGTTATTGTACATTAAAAAAAATAGTTACAGGTAAGATTCTTCAATATTTCCTCATGGGCTAAAAGATCCAAATACTTTTTAATGAAATGTAAAACTTAATTTTCAAAAAATTACATCATTTACAGTTAAAAAAATCACTTAACAAAGGTTACCATAATAAAATGAAATTTTAAATTTTTATACAGTTAAATCAATAAAATTAAGCCTTATATATGTAAAGCATTACAAGTAACAAAACATTCAAAACCAAATATTGTTAAACAATGGTTTTTAAATTAATCAACTAGTCTAGCTAGCACTTACTAGTTTGTTTGCAAGCTAAAAAAAGGACTTTAAAAAAATCAGCGTCAGCAGCATGACAAATTAGGAGATATATAAGAATTAAAAACTAAAACTAATAATGTTAAATAATTTAAAAATAAAGTTGGTGTTGAAAAATTTAATTGATGTTGGTGGCTAAGCATAAAAGACATTTTTGAAATGATTAGGTATGCATTGTGTTTTAATTATTTGAAATTTCTATGAAAATATTTTGATCATTAACGCTAAAAATTTCAAACAGAAATTTTTTTTATTAATGTCCTATTATACGCAGGGAAGGAGGCTTCAAAAATTTAAAATGGTTTATTTAGATAATTTTTTCCCTGAAAGATATTTCAAAAATCTGAAATCTACATTACCCTTGAGTGCTAGTTAACACATTTTAAAAAATTTAATATCATATTTGTAGGTACAATACAAGGTTCGTGATTCTCTTTATTTTTCAACTAAAAAAAAAAGTAGATTATCTTATTTTTTTAAAACGTTCTTTAAGAATATTTACATAGAATTAATTACATTTCGCAACAGCCAGTTGTAGACCAGAAGATCATGAAGATAAGGGCTCTGCAAATTTGTGATCAAAGTTATGTTTGAGGCAATAGGATCTGAATTACCTGAAATCCTTATTCCAGACCAGCTAGTACCCATTGATCTGAAGCTGGTGGGGAAGTGAGCCACAACTAAGTATCGTACCCTAGATCTTCAGAATGACAGTTCAGTACTTGAACAACTGAGCCATATTGAAAAATCTAAACATCCCAATGTTTACCTAACATTATTAGTCTATTAAGGACCTACATAGAAAATGATATTGGCCCATTACTGAAAGTCATTCTAGAACGAATATTGAAAAATCTAGACATCCGAATGTTTACCTAACATTATATATCTATAAAGGACCTACATAGAAAATGATATTGGCCCATTACTGAAAGTCATTCTAGGACGAATATTGAAAAATCTTGACATCCCAATGTTTACCCAACATTATAAGTCTCGAGACTTATATGTAACAGATATCTGTTACAATCCAATTAAATACTAAAAAGGAAGCAATACCTGCATCACTAGAAAAACATCTTCTTTGTAATTCTTTTAGAAGAGTTAGTCTGTAATATGAAACACTAGCATTCTAAAAAGAAAAAAATTAATAATTAAGAAACATCATTTGAGTGTTCCAGGAATAAGTGAATGTTTTACTAAAACGTTAATTTACATGCTACATACTGGAATTGCTTTACATAAAAATTTTGCTTAAAAACAAATCTTTCACTTTTTAAGGTCCTCAGCAAGCTTTAATTTACATATTGCAGTCTACTTAGCTTATTAATAAATCTGATTCATTAAAATAATGAAGACAAAGGTCTTCCTTAAAAAATTTTAATAATCATAAAAAATAGTTCTCATTACAACTTAAAATAGCATACATTTAAGAAAAGAATATATATTCAATATGGATGTTCCCTGAAATCGGGAAGTCAGATCTGCTGACTCTGGTTTTCAGAGAACAGCCTATAAAACATTTAATGCATGTTTAATTTTGATCATTGAATTTCTGCAATGGGTATTCATAAAAAATATTTAAGATAGCTCTGACCAATGTACACTAAAATATTAAAACTTGTTACAGCTCAAAAAAAAATTTAACTGGTCGTAAGAATAAGCTGCACTCAAAAACTTTAAAGATTTTGAGCACACAGCACCTTTTTTTTAACCAAAAAAAATATATATATATATTCTTTACTATTTTCATCATGCAAGAACGTCATAGTTTAGTTTTCTATGGACTACAGAAATGGTCATCCATGCTTTATAGAATTGGAGACTGTTCATAAATGATTTAATGAAGTAAGGAGGGTGGGGGTTCTTGGAATTATGAGGGGATAGGAAAAGAACAGAGATGCCAACTTGCTCCGGACAACAAATAAATACTTTGAAGTGGTAGTTTATCAATTGTGATTCTTGGTTTAATAAATTCAATTTAGTAGAGTTTTTTCCACCACTATTTCTAAATAATTCATAGTCTTATATAATTCACCACTTTAAAGCAGTTATGTCATGTTATACCTTTTAAAAAGCAAGCAAAAATAGGAAAATATTTGCAAAATTAAGTTTGCAGTTATTTACCGTTTTTTTTAATTATTTTGGCGTGTCCGGAGCAGATGGTATCCCTGAAAGATTTCCATATCTTGATCTGAAGCAGAATAATAGTCAGGTCTTGCCGAATTCTGGGCAGAAGCCAGGGAGAAAAATAAAAAAAATATCACAAAAAGGAACCCAACTTGAAAGGTGTTTACTTGCAACCACCCTCACGCAAACTTCTACTTTAAAAAAAAAGATTTGGAAGTTTAAAATATATTTGAATTTGACTATTTGGTAACTATAGTTGGCATACAGAAATTACCCGGAAGGAATAACAGAGGTGTGTAACACTTTGATTAAAATAAAAATATTTAATATCAGCAGATTAAACAGTTTTAAATTGTTTCATATTTTTTACAGAAAGAAGTTCACATCTAATATTATTAAGCCCACAAATGTCATTAAAGAATGTAATTAGAAGTTAAAAATATAATTTCATATATGAACTATTGCATGCCTTTTGTTTCTGAAACGCTAACATATTTTTCTATAATATCATCTTAACTGTGACATTTTTGGATACTAAAATATATCTTTGCATGTTTATAAATAAAGAGAGATATTAAAGAAAAACATCAATAAACATCCATTTAATTTAGAGGATCCCACCAGTCTATATCAAAAAGTGCACATCCAGAGTTAAATGGAAATATTTTTGCAAATATGGCTTAAGTTACCTTAAATCCTCAATGAAATGTCTAACAATATATCACATAACAGAATTTTTTACCTCTGGAATTGTTAACAAATTGCATGCTTTCTTACTTTCAGTGGATAGTAAGGAAGTATTAGTATTTTGTCTGAGACAACACAGAAAATTTCCTAACAGCTATATATGATGAGCTACTGCGGCTCAGAAAATAAAGTGGTCATCACCCAATGAGGCGACTGAAGTTCAAATCTCAACCATGGCTTGTCAATATGAATTCTGTCCTACTAAATACAATGTTGACATACAATATACTCAGTGGTAGACAGATTATGGATCAAAAACCCCTAGCCATCTGATTAACAGTGTGTAGTCTTCTCCATGTAATGCAAATGCAAGTTATTTTCATTAAGAAGTCCAAAAAAGCTAGTTTATCCCATTGCTTTATTCAGGACTTCCCTAATACTTCAGGTTTGGTTAAAAACTACAAGATTATGGAGAACATAGATAGCCATAAACTTAAAATTAGGTCTGCTGTTCAACGCTGTTAATAATAAAAATAATTTCAAAGATAAAATTTAATAAATGATAAACTTTTAGAAGATTTCCGTATTATGATCTGGAGACAGGATAATCACCAAGTGTTGGCTACTTCTGTGCTGCGGTTCGTAAGAACTAAATTGAAAAAAAAACACAGATGGGAGGCTCAACTCAAAGGGTATAACTTGTAGCCACCTCCAAGCAAACATCTTCATAAATTAAAAAAAAATAGAAATTTAAAACCTATTTGACTTCTCGACAATTTTAGTGGGGAGCATGAGCTGCCATTATTCTGCCATGATCTATGGCAGAATTATGCCTAGTCTTGGCAACTTCCGGACAGCGGCCCATAAAAATTTTTTTAAAAAAACATCACAGAAACGGACCAACTCGTACCCAACACTGGGTAAACCTCTACATGTTTCTTTCATTTTTCCCTTTAAAATCAATTTGGGACCTAGGCAATTGCAGTTCGCCTGATAGATGATACAGAAAGATCCCCCATTATAGTTTGCAGAGTACGGAAACATTCCCAATTTAAATACTGTCTAGCAAACAAGAGATTAAACCCGACCTAACTTAAAGCAATCTCACTGAGAGTTCATTGCTAGAGAATTTTCATTAAGTTAGAGCAAAATGTCACAAATCTCAAACAGCACAGTCTTTTTTAGGTAGTGTAGCTTCTAATTCTCTTCAGATAACGTTTTTTTTTTTTTTTTACAGGATTTTATAAAATTTGAAACAAGAAGTTCATATTTTTATTTTAAAACATAATAGTTAAAAAAAATAAACACGTAAAGAAAGTAAACGTTAAGAGAATTATGAACATGAAAACTAGCTTTTCCCAAAATATCTTTGGTTATATTCTTGACATTAGCAGTGAAGAATAAAACAGTCACTAAGCTAATAAAATTCATTTAAAAAGTTCGAGAACGAACCAATTCCGAAGGTTAGATAGCTGCTAATTAAAATTGAGTTTGTTCAAAAGTACACATTCTAGACTGCACAAGAAAACATTCAGAATAAAGGTACAAGAAACCGTTCAGAATAAAGACACAAAAATGTAAAGGCACGATTAAGTGAATAATTGAAAGATACTTCAATTCCGGAATTCTCACAGAAGAGAAATCAAGGATTAAGTAGCAGAGAAAAAGAAACTGAGAAAACCAGCAAATATCGTAAGGAACTCAAGCATTTCTACAAAAACTTCAAACATAGAAATTTAAAAAGTAATTATTTCATGAAATAATAAGACTAACCCTGTAAATTGGAACAAATTTTGTACACAGGCCGGCCTGCATTTTACAAGTAGTTTAACAAACCAATTTACAGTAAAAAATAAGCAGACAAACGTGAAGGACGAGTTGATCCGATATGTTGCCAAATTGAGAAGTTTTTATAAAATAAGACAAATAATCGAGTTTGTAGCAAATAAAAAGTTAAGTGATACAGCATCGAAACTTTTCAACTTTTCAGTTGTTAACGTCTGCTAAGGAAAGTTTAATTTTTAAGCATATTACGAACGAACTTTTTGAAGCAGCTTCATTAGGAAAATTTTAGTAAACACTCAATATTTGTTGTTTTATAACATCATATATGTTATTTGACTTTTCATTAATAAACAGTTTGCTCATTTTGATTATTTTGAAGTTGATTGGCCGAATATATGAAACTATAAGAAAAATTAAAAGGAATTTAAATAAACTGTACCCGAAGGTAATGATACGTATTATTAGTAAACAACTAAGCTCTACTCGATCGTTTCAAGCCAGGGAATTATGGGAAACGCCACTGAACCTTACCTATGTTGTAATACAAACAGAACTTTTTAAATTTATTTTGGACAATTTCCTTTCTCTTTTTAATTAAACTTTATGAAAACTAAGCAGTATATCCATAAATATGTGATCTGTCCCGAGCTATTATATCGAGTTTTTAGAAAGATAAATAGTTACTCAGCAGATACTTATACTTTTTATTCCTTTGAAATAGGATTTGGACTTAATCTAAAAATTAAATTTGCATATTACCTGATATAACTACTTAGCTTAACGTTATACTTCACTCAAAGATCTTTAAGCAATTCTATAATCTATGGTAGGTTTGAAGATTAGTTCATTATGACTATTATTTACATTGTTGATTCTTGGCGGCATATTTTACTATTAACTTCTTTTTCATTTATTTCAGGTTCTGTCTCTCCATAGTCATCCTTAAGGTAAGTAATGATGTAAGAAGAATATAAAACTGAAATTAATATCATCTTATCTAGGCCTAATCGATGCCTGAATCAGTCTGGTTTTGATCAAATACATTAGTGATATCATTCACTCAGTCCCGTACTTTGACAGCTTTAGTCTTTGTCAAATATTCAGCTTATTATTACATTACATGACACTGAATTAACACCACCTCTAAACTTAACTTTCAATGGTCTACTTGCGCATAATTAGCTTTTAGTAAAAACATTAACCAGAAATCTAAATTAAGAATGAAATACCTATTTAATGAGGAAATGAACTAAGCTACCATATTCTATGAATGTTTGAATACATATTTCATTCCTTCTCTCAATCAAGTTTACTGTTGTATTGAACTTATTTTATTATGATAACTGAACTTTAGTCTGGTTGATGATATTGAAGTATCATCTTCCGTCATCCTTTCTGGGAGCTATGAAAATCTGAATTGTTGAAAGAGAAAATAAACCTATACTATACTGGTGGACATTTGAATTACTATTTCACTTGATTAACTCTACTATCGTATCAAGTGTATTAGATAGTAAAACTTATCATATTAGTTCCAGCTGAGCATCTATCTGGCTTATGGGGCTTCTATCATGTTATCCCAATTTTTTTTGTTTTTTTCACTGCCTCTGATTTGTGTATATGATTGTCAGCCCCTACATGTGTCAGCAGTTTCTTCTATATGTAGTTTTTAAACATTCAGACATGCATAATGAGAACTTAGATGCGATGAATTTGATCCCTGTGTTGGGGTGATTAATTAGAATGCTCTAAATCTGCAGTTTGGTATACTCATGTTCATTAGTTCTCATGGGGATTCAGCCTCTGTATCTGGCAACTCGAGTGGCACATAGTTTTTGCAACAAATAACCCGGTAGGCAGCCTTGTTTCGAAATAATCGGTGAGTAATTTGTAGTTTGTTCTGATTACACAAATAATTGTAACTTCCTGGCAAAAAAAATAAGATTTTAACTTAAAGGTGAGTTTTGTAACACAGCGAATGGAATATACTCAAAATCATCGAAACCCTTGTTTTCCTGGATAAGATATTTCCTCTTTTTTTGTAGATAAATAATTGATTTAATGATTAAAAAAATAAATATTTTTCGGTTAGCAAAGCACAGGGAAATTCAACTATTTTTTAAAATTTTATTTAATTTGTATGTGTTTCATAAAAAAACGTTGGCGGAAGTCTAAATTTTTTTGGCGACTTTTTTTTGCCCTCGACTAGTAATTCTTTTTTATTGTGATTTGCTGGCAAAAAATAAGATTTTAATTGAAAGAAATTCCTCTATTTTATTAAAATATATAAATGATTGATTTAGTGTTTCAAAACATGCTTTTGGGTCAGCCGGGATACTTTTTTTAAAAAATTGGCGGAAATCTTCATTTTTTGGCGACTTTTCACCTGCGCTCGGCAACCACAGAAAAACTTCAATGTAGCAAAAGTGTTCCAGGTACCAAAAAATTTCAGTAACATACTTATTTATACAATTTCAATTTCTTTTTTATCTTTGTTCAAGCTATATTTTTTATTGCAACTTTTTTCGTACAAACGAAACTTCATGCAATTGAAATAGATTTGAATTGATATTACATCATCACATGTAAACAATGGTCAAGTTTCCTGAGACATAAATGAGTGCTCCTCAATTAGTTTAAACTGTTACAACAGATTTTATAAGTTAAGTCTATTTAAAAAATGTGAAGACATTTTTCTATAAACTTTTCTTTCTCCCTTTTCTATAAACAAATGAATGATTTTGTGTTTAAATGTTGTATTAACAAAAAATTTTAATTAAATTACTAAATATTTGATTAATTGCTTTTTCAATAAATTCTTTTATCTTAACTTTTTTATCAAAACTGAAAAACTACTTTAAATTTGCTCTTGGGTATAGAGAATCTAATCAATGCAATTTAAGACAGTATGGTTAAAGCAGATCCAGTTAGAATGTTCCTTAAGTTTCATAAAACTTAATTAAAATCGTGTTAAATGAATCATTAATTGAATATTTGATATTGTTTGAGGATTTAATCTTTTTTGCTATAACTTATCTGACAGAAATGTTTAAAATATTTTTAAAAGAATTATGGCATCATGTTAAAACTATAAGCAGGATTGTTATAAAAATTGACAGTCACTCCAAATATTTATTAGTTATTATAAGTCTGTATTGTGTTGTGATCATTCAAAGATCTGGTTCAGGATTATTGTGATGTCAAAATTGAAAACATTATAAAAAAATATAAAAGTATTTTTTTTAAAAAAAAGATTTAAATCCATTGAAGATATCAGATCAAATGAGTACTGTAACCCGAAGACTAAAGAACACACTCCTCAGTGCTAATACAGTTGTTGCACTTAAAGATGATAAAAATTCAATCTTTTTAAGAATTGGAAAACAGCAATAGCTCTTTTCTGTTTCTTCTATTTACACTGAACTAAATCATAGCTGGATTTCGACATGTACCAACAGTTACAGTTAAATTTGCTTATATGTAAATAAAATTTTAAAAAATGGATGAAATATTTTAAATTGGAAAGCTTTGTAATGAATAGCAAGTACTTTTCTGGTAGACAAGTAAACTTAACTATTTGTTTGAAAGGGTTTTTGTGTTTTGTATTGAAAAATTGTTGAAATTTCATGCACATGACAAATGGAAAAGTACCAAAAAAAATTTATAAAAAATTAGCTTATTGAATTCTTGAATACCTTTTAAATTAAAATGAAAACTTAATTGATATAAGCATTGAGATATTAAGAAACTAATTTGAACAAATTAGTCAAACTAGCTGCAGTCAGAATAAAACCGAATTTCGATGAATGATTATTTGAATTTATTATTTTTCAAATTTTTAGTCTTTACTGTTATAGTTTTTTTTCTTATTAAATTATTTTAAATACTTAAAAAAAGAATCGTGATTTAGTTTGAAAACTAGATTTTTATTTATGGGCTATTGAGGGCTGCTATATTGAGTTGTCGCCAACACAAACGTGTAGATCTGTATGCAAATTTATCACAAAGATATTTACAATGGAATTATTCATGCCTTTGTGTAGTTTTTTACTAGAAAGGGCAATGTTTATATTTTAAGTGACAGAATGAAAAATTTAATGTTTTCTGGTTAATTTACTTATCCTAGATTTGGGATGTCCAGGAAAAAAATTGTATGTCTGCAACTCTATTGCTCTAATAGGAATACAGCTTTAGCTCTACCTAGCACAGAGTGCAATAAGCTTTTTAAAGGTGGTTTTGTTCATCCAGCATGATCTGACACAATGTAAAAATTCCCCCTCTTATAAACATCTTATCCAACTTGACAGCTTATGTATACATTGAACAAATAAATTATGTGTTTTATTTATCAGTTCATAGCACCTTCTGCATATCATTCTAGTGATGGATTTAACATTAAATCTAATCAATTTTTCAGTCAATTTATAAGATTTTGTAGTAAGCACAATAAAGTAACCTATTCCTAATTTATGAGTTTAATTTTGTTTTGGCACAAAAAAGAAAGGAAAGATACAATGCTTATCATTTTCTTGTGTGTGAAGTAAAAATATTTATTATTATTGTTTTAATAATATAAATTTAAATTGGTACTTATCGCTTCGTCGGACGCAAGTAAAAGTTATCAAATAATTTAGACTTCAGTTGATTAAAAATTTTTAAAAAGAAATTCAACGGCTATCAATTTTTTATGCATATATTGTTTTGTATATTGATGAAAATTTTCGGTTTTGTTTTGGCTATTTATGAAAGTAATCCTAAGACATTGTAAGAAGGGGGGGGGGATTGGCGAGCTTGCATCCAGCTAATCGAGGAGTACCTTTGCATTTTTTTACTGCCTATGCAAATCTTTATGTGATGTCTCTTAAACACACTCATAAATATTTCGTTATTTTAGAAATATACATATATTTATATATTTTTCAGGTAAACAAAGGAAATGCAAGCAATCTTTTTCTTGATATGATTATTGTTTCTAATGTGAAAGTTCTGAAATCTAATCTGTTTTGCATTGTATATTCGACATGGTCAAAACTTTGTGGGAAAGAAAATTTCATATGAACTTAGCACAGCATTTTTCTCCTCTTAATCATGAATAGAATAAATCAATGCTGTAAAATTGATCATAGCATTCAAGAATTTCTAATTGCTTGGTGTAAATTGAAAGAAACTAACGTAAGTTTTTTTTACTTAATTTTTTATTATTTTTTTATTTTATGTGTTTGATATTTTTGTATACATTTGATTAATGAAAATATCTATAGTTGTTTTCGAACATGACTTGATTATTTGGATGTTCCAGTACTTTTAAATTATAATTTTTTGTGATATCTAACTCTTAGATATTTATATTTTTTCACTATCCTTTAATCTGAATCCTTATCGGGGTTATTCTTTTTTATCAACACTAAATATTTTGTCCCTCATCATCTACAAAGACTTATCATTTATATCTTGATACCTAAGATTGTGAAAAACGTAATTGGTACTACCACTATTTAAATTTTTATTATAAAGGTGATTTCACACTATTTGTAGCCTGGCATGCTTAAAAATTTTTTTCAATTAATTTAATAAACCACACATCAAATTAAGAGTCATTAAATATATTTTATGAATATATATTTAGTTTTTTTTTTTTAAAAAATTATGCACTTTCTTTGCATAAAATTTGAAAAATTGAGTTTAAAAGTTGCAGACATGACAAAGAGAGAAAAATTAATTTCGAATTGCTGCATTTAATATTTGTAATTAAACATGATATCTTTTGTATTTGCATAATTAATTACTGAAAAAACGTCATTTTTACGTTTAGTATTTAAATATGAGGTACTTATAAGAGAACATGTTTACTTTTTAATAATTATTTTTCAAGTTTTATTAAACAAAGCAGTTAAAAGATCTATTTTCTTGAAAATTGGATTTCTTAGTTATGCAAAAAATAAAAATTAATTAAAATTCATTTCTCTTAGAAAATATAAAATGTTATTGAGATAATTTTTTTTATGCAAAATGTGAACTTATTTTTTTGTGATGGAATAGAATAGAGATTAATTTATAATTTTAATATTGATTAATAGAATGTAGATTGAATATAATTAAATTAAAAATTCTAATTTTATGAAGTTTTTTTTTTTATCAGATTTATTGTAAGTAAATTTTTTTTGTTTTTAAACAAGAAGGAATTAAGTCTACTTAGTCTTCTTTACCTTACAGCATAATTTTTTTTGACTCTCTGTAAAAAATGAATTTAATTTCTTTATAAATTGAAACAACTGTAATTGGAGTATTGCAGTGGTCGGAAGAACTACATTATTTTTGCAGTTTACTCCAACTACTTTGTTACAAATGTAGTTAACTACAACTATTATTTTAAATGTAGTGATTAAAACTACTTTCAACATGTAGTGACTGCAAACTATTTTAAAGAACTGAATTTTGCTAAAGAAATTAATTTACACCTGTATAATTTACACTGGAGACATTAATTTACACATTATGATTAAAATGGTTTTGAATAAAATAAAAAATTGGCTTATATTAAATATGAAGAATTTAGACATTTTTATTCATGTTTACATGAGCCAGTTAGTTATTCTAAAACATTTTGAATTTGTTCATTTAATCTTCAACTTTTTATGCCCTTCTTGACAGCAAATATTTGATTTAAGAAATTATATGAAATTATCAAATACTTGCTGTTCCGTTAAGTGTTTAGTGCTCTTTTATAACCATAAGCACAATGCTTTGAATTCACATAAGTTTGTAGAATTTGTCTTGATAAAAGACACTAAAAATTATGTTTCAGCATATCTCTACTTTGTATGTAAATGATGTAAAAAATAAAAATAAAATTGCTTTACTTCAATTTTACAAAATTAATGCATATTACAAAGATAAAATTATGAATATTCTCTAATATTAATGTATTGTCTATATTTAGTTAAACTGCAGAAATGAATGGAATGATGCCTATTCAAAGTGAACATTCTGAGAAAAAGAAAAGAAACTACAAGCTTATTATAGATCCTGCCTTAAAAAAGGGTCCTGAAAAAGTTTATAGATATGATGGAGTTGTTCCTGGTGTATGTATTTATGTAAAAAAATGTTTTAATTAAATATTACCATTGTCCTTGTAATTTCTTAATTATTATTTTTTTATGTTTCATAGTTGGAAAAATATTATCCCACTGTGCACGTTAGAGATCCTCGTTCCAGACTTTCGACTATTTGGGCTAGAAATGAGCCCGCAGATCTCATCCTACCAAGATTTAAGGTACATTTTTATTGGAATTGTATAATCTTTGATTATTCCTTTAAATTTTAAATTCTTTGTATTTTGCCTTTATATTTATGTAAATATTTGAATATCTGAATGATCTTATCTTATTTACAATAATGTAACATTTTCATGCAGCAATTTAATTTAGCTAAATGCTGCATTGAAAATCATTTATTTAATGTATGTATTTAAGTAAGCTTTTTTGAATGACATTTACTGTGCTTTTTGTGAGATGTTCTTCATTTACAAAGCTAAGTGTCTTTTTATTTTATCATTTCAAATGTTTGTAATTTTAAATTATAACTATTGCTGTCAGCATTCATTCAGATTATGACATTCATACTTTAACTCAATCGTTGTTGGATTTAATGTCCTTTAAGGAGGCAAAAAAATCTGGTTATAAATGTAAAAGTTTTCTTTTTAATATTAATAAAATCAAGCATTTCTATATAATAAAATACAGCATCTAATATAACTGTACCCTGTATGTAAATTATAAAAGTACAGTACAGAACCATTTATCAGGTATCCAGAAAACCGAGAAAAATTTTGCTCGGTTTTCCTGCCATTTTGAACGAATACGATTGAGGGAAAAGGTGGAAATTCAACTCTTCTTTGAAGTTGAATAGAGGAGAATTTAGGGGGGTGTATTTTTCTCCCCCTTTCTCGAGAGAAAATTTCAATATCTGTGACCTTGAAGATCTTTAGATTGAGAGGGGGCGGCAGGAAAGGGAGAGATCTTTTATTTTCTCCTCTGTGTCCGAAAAGATAAGATCAGATTTTTCTAATAAGCTGCTGTCAATTAAACATAAAGGAGTAGCATGCTGATTTTGTTCTCTCTTAGATTTACGAGGAGGTGGGGGAAATGCATGGCACGTGCATATCAATGAACAGAAAAAAGGAAATAACCTGTACTTTGCTCAGAAAAAGTGGAATGGAAATATGTAAAAGATTAAAATACGACTATTTTTTTTATCAATTATAAAATAAGAATTTAGTTGAATTTAATAATTTAAAAAATAATCAGAAGAATTTTTTAAATTATAATTTAGTAAATTATAAACATAATTGACTGTGCTAGTGGGGGAGGGAGGATATATAATAACCACCAAGCTTTGTTTGGGCTAGTGGACTACTTATACTATAATTCATAATTCATCCAAATAAATATGAATAAATTTCTATTATTGGTACAATTAAGTGATTTATGTCATTTTATTCTTACATGTAGTTATAAATTATATTTAATTGGTACAATAAATTGAACTTACTATCTGAGATAAAAATATATGTGATTATGCAGTTTAAATGTGTAATTCTTCCTTGTAAGAAATATTTTATTCTGAATCATAAGATAGTTAAAAATTTATTTTGTCTGTAGGTTCCTGTTTTAAAAAGAATGTAGTGTACTAAAATTATTTTTAAAATAATTACTTTTGTAGGTAAATAGTATTTTTTTTTTTTTTTTTTTTTAATTTTCCCACGAAAAATCATCTAGCTTCTCTTTCNTTATACTTAACACTAATTTTAATTTCTTTTTTGCCCACTCTTATGATTAATCTCATTTCTTTTAATAGATTGATGACAACTATATTGGCATTCCTCCACCTTTACAAGTCACGATTAAAAATCTGAATGATAATATTAATAAACAATTCTTGGATGACATGCTAAAAAAGTATGGTGAAGTTGAACAGTCTCAGATATATTATCATCCAGCTACCAGAAAGCATCTCAGACTTGCCCATGTAACATTTACTTCTGTGCATGCTGCCAAACTGTGTGTTGACAAGTTAAATAGAAGCTCTGTAATGGGAGATGTTCTTAGTGTTTATTTGGACCCCTTTGGTAAGATCTTTTATTTCAAAACTTTATAAAAATTATTTTTGCATTAACTCTAGATGACTAAACACAGAAATCTTCCTAAAAATAAGTCCCGCGATGGATTGATCCAGTGTTTTCACTACAGCGCGAGAATCTCTGTTATTTTTTTCTTTTCTCGCATTAAAAAATTATTACCGCGAGAACATCACGCACTCTATTAATCAGTTGCAAAATGCACGAATTTTGGAAAAAAATTCGTCTTCTGCCATTTTGAATAAAATCCGTTTCACTTTTCTTCCTTGATCTTTCATTATTTTCAACTTCGATCCCTGTTATCTAGCTTCCCTATTTACCAGTATTGTTCAGAACCGGTGCGAACAGCAGAACACAATGCCCCCCCCCCCAAATGACTGAACACCTTTCAGAACACATTTCTCTGCAACCTCGTGTTCACCGAAGGTAAGATTTCTTCATGTAAGACGTTTACATTTTTTTCAATGCTACAAATTTACTTAGTGATTCTGATTTCTTCAGCATCTGTTGCAAAGTCACTTAGCACTCAAATCCGAATTAAGACAAAATATCGTATACAAATGACTGATAAACATTTGAGCAACCTAATGAGAAAACCTGATAAAAGAGTAGAAACAACTATAGCGCCACTTAAAACTAACCATAGCGCCACAAGTAGAACCTGAGTGTCACACAAGAGAGCGGTAAGGAGTATACAGCACAGAACCAACTATTGGGACTGACCTAAGCCCAGATAACATAAGAGACTTTGAGCCAAAGGCACTCCTAACATTAAAGAGTCCTTCACACGCTTCTTTGTAAACCGCAAAGCAGGTCAGCGCTGACCTTCGCCCTGTAAAGCTTGAATGTGTTTTTGTTAAAATCTTTTTTGTAATTTTAAATTTTGATATTAAAGTGTTCTGGTTTTGGCAAAAAGGCTTGCTTGCCTTCCAATCGGAGGGCAATGTTAGCAGGGTGGCTGCAACGCTGCTGTCGGCCCACCTGGTCCTGGACTCTGCAGCCGTCTTTGGTTCCCTGCCTCCGGGTTTTGACTGGGCTTTTAGGCCTCCTCTGCTCATTGACGAGATTGTGGTGCATTTAATCGCGTGTGACTTGGGGCTTTCCTCGTGGCCGCCAATTGCTTGGGCTCTCATGCCGGCCGTGGTTGCTTCGCAACTGCGAGATATCAGGCATTTTGGCGTATGGGCAATATTTGCCTGGGTCGCGACAATAATTTCCTTAAGGGTTAAAATATATTGTTTTTATTACGCAATTTGTTTAATGATTTTTGTGTCATTTTTTAATATATTTTATTTTTTTAATATTTTTTATTTTTTTAATATTTTATTATTTTTTTTTAATATTTTATTATTTTTACATACTTTATTATTGAAGCCAACGAGGTTTTAAGCCAGCTATATTCAAAACCTGTATACAAAAACCTTGCTAATTCAGGTTAAAATAAGCGCATGCCTAGACTGATCTTAAATTCATATTCAACCACTGTGCTAAAGTTGAAAAAGAGCCAATCGTGCTTCGCAACGACGAACACAAAAATCTTGAGCGTGGTCAGAGAAATGGCTAATCTCATTAAACATGGTCAGTCTGGATTATTCTCAACTTGAATACATTTTAAGCTTAGAAAACTATTTTTTAGATCAATTTCACTAAAAAAATATCTTTAGACTACAGCTAAGTTTTTAGTTTCAACAAAGTTAAGACTACAAATTCGAGAGAGGAGAGAAGTTATTAGAAACCAACTTGATAAATATGAAGCTTGACTTTATGTTCAAACAAATAGTCCACTTAATAAACTTTCTGTAAATATTTGAATTAATTAATTGGATCAAATATGTGAGAGAAACTAGCAAAATCTTCTGGTGCATAAATTTAAAAAAATATTTAAAGAGAAATATATAAATGTAATTATTTTTCAGCATTCATTTGTCTCTCATAATCATGTTTTTACTGTATTCAAAGTATTATTTAAAGGCTATATAACTTTAAAGAAATATGTTGGTTATTCTCTAAAGTTTTCAGTTGTTTCTTCTTTTTTTTTGTGCTGGTAGTTGTTAACGTTTACTTTATAATCAGGGTTGACAAGGTTTAGGACAGAATGGATTAATCCACGGTTGAAGTCCTGTCCAAAACCTTTTTCTCAAATTATGTCACAATTTTATCTGAACAATATTTAAAAGGTAAAATAAACATAGAACTAATAACATATTGATAATTAAATCGACTGGAGAATATTTGCTTTTAAAAGTATAATGTTTGACTCTTCAATTTAAACATTAAACAAAGGAAGATTAATCAGTAATCAAGTTCAATTGGTCCTTTTATCATTTGATAGCACATAATTAATTTAGCTGCTGTATTTACAAAGTTAATCTTAAACAGGTTTATTTATCTATAGTACTATTCAAGAATACTTTTATTTCATTCATGTTCAATTCTTTTAGCATAGTGGTGATACATCACCAGTGTCAGTAACTGAAACTGATATTATGCCCTTCAAAACTGTTAATAAATTTTTCAGTTATTTCGTATTTCCAATTTAACTAATATATTTATAAAAAAATTTTTTTTTAAATAGATGTCTTTTTTATCATCATGTGTTGCAGAAATTATTAAATTTTTTAAAAAGAAATATTGTGAAAAATAAAAGATTAATTTTTAAACAAATTTTTTTTTTTTAAATAATTATTATTATTTTTAATATTGCATTATTTATCCTTATGCAAAAACATAATTTATCAGTATTAAAATTTAAAAGCATTATTATATTTAAAGGAAAGGTATTCACTTTTGTTGTTCAATGAATTGTGCAGGGATGTGATTCTTCCGCAAATCCGCTGATTTCCGCTTTTTTTTAGATTTTTCCATGTCTTCCGCTCTTTTTTCATAAATTTCTGCGCGGAAAATTTTTTTATTCAGTAAATTATATTTTGTTGAAAAATTTTTTCTCCCGCGGAGCGAAAGTATTGAAGCCCCCAATAAACCTTTCTTCACATGTCAATCTGCTGGCTGGGGTAAAAGTGGTTGACCTTGGTAAAACAATGCCGTCTCCTACTCTACTACTCTCTTATCTTTTCAGGGATGAAGCACTTTTTAAAATTTCCGACCATGTTCCAAAAACTTTTGGGGAGTCGAACGATATAGTCGGACTTGCGACGAACTCCCCCCCTGCAGTAGCCTCCTGAGAAAATTATCTTCAGAAGAAAATGGGTAGAATTTCGGCATGTACGCGGTTGCTTTGACAACCCCGACTTCCGCTATAGATTGGAAAAAAAGAACAAAAAGTCCTAAGCAGTTTCGGTCGATGATATATGATTTCTTTTGATTGGTTGATTTACAGAATTTTAAATATTAGGAACTGGGCCAGAATTGCGATTCTTATTTAGATGATTTTTATGTAAATCATCGATTTTCGTATTTAACTGAGTTAAAAGTTACTTGTTGAGATTCGTTTTTACACGATTTAAAAATCATTACTCGCAATTCCCATTCCCGCAATTTAAAAATTCAATATCACAATTCATATTCCCGCTAGTTTAAAATCCAATGTCGTGATTCGTATTCATATATATTTTTAAATTTCAATATTGCGATTCGTTATCACCCGGTTGTAATATCAAACATCGATTTTCGTATTTATACGCGGTTTAAACATTACTCGTTGCTATAAGTATTCACGGACTCTAAAAATTATGCATCATGATTCTTTTTTACGCGATTTAAAAATTCGATACCGCGATTTGTATTTTCGTGCTTTTAAAATCCAATATCGTGATTCTTATTCACGCGATTTTAAAATTCAATATCGTGATTCTTATTCACGCTATTTTAAAATCCAACATCGCGATTCTTATTCACCTTATTTTAAAATCGAACATCGCGATTCTTATTCACGCACTCTTAAAATCCAACATCGCGATTCTTATTCACCCTATTTTAAAATCGAACATCGCGATTCTTATTCACGCACTCTGAAAATCCAACATCGCGATTTTAAAATCCGGCATCGCGATACTTTTTCACGCGATTTTGAAATCCAACATCGCGATTCTTAATCTAAGGCCTCTAAAAATTGTGTGAGAAATTAACTTTCTTGTCCTATCAACACTGATGATCAAAAGTCTGCAAAACGTTAATAAAAAAAAAGTGTTAATAAAAGACCATCGAAAAAACAAAGAACTGATGAGAAAGTCCATAAAGGTCCTTCAACCAATAAAGAAATGCTTTTTAAAATGATGTGATACATAAAATCGTGCTTATGCATTATTACTCAAAGTTATCTAAATTATTTTTAAAAATTATTTTAATCAAGATTTAATTTAAGAACATAATTACCATTTATTTATATTTATTTGAATAGATAATAATGTAATCATTATCAGATTGGCTATTGAATTCATATCATTTTTTCTTTTTCACGTTTAATGCTACAGTTATAAACTTCCTCTTTTTTGTGTTTTTGTCAATCACATCCCTGATTGTGGAGCTTCAAAAATTATAAACCTTTTCCTATTATATTATATTGTTTTCCTTTAATAATAAGTTTAAGTAAATTGTATAAAAAATATCAAATATTTATTGATATATGTAATTATTATGTGAACAATGGGTACACATATAGAACTTTAACCTTTTACCAAAGTTCAAGGTTTTGGACACTTTAAGACAATTTAGGACAGTTTTCGTCAGTTTAGGACAATTTAAGACAGTAAAACCCATGTGCCCTTTCCAAAACCAGTTTAGGACGTCCAAAACCCCAACCCTGTTTAAAATATATCATTTTGATTGTAGTAATGTATAGAGTTGCTGGCCTTCTGGGTAGATATTCTTTTATTCCCACCTTAGAGGTCAGGGGTTCAAATTTTAGCCTAAGTAGTTTTTTCTCTTATAAAAAAATAAGATTTTAAAATTTAGAGTTTATTGCTAGATTTACAATGTTTTAATAATTTTTTTTAATTAATTTATCCAATCTAAAATTCCTCCCTGTTTTTCATAAATTATATAAATTATTGTCAGGTCGTAACTAAATCTATTTTCTTTCTAAAGAAAAAAATAATGTTAGGAATATATAAATTACACTATATCTTTTAATAAAATAATGTTGCGTGCTTCCATCATAGGCGTTTTAATGTTCCTTCCATATTAATTGTAGTAAATGTTAAATTTCAAAACTCTTATCATTTCTTTTATTTTTAAGCATTGTATTAGTTCTATTTTTTAAGAAAAACCATAACCATTTTATCTAATATTTTTTAAGAAAAACTTTATGTATGAAATGAGTGTGTCACTCGGGACTAAGATTTTCTTTTTTAAAAAAAAAAAGAAATTTATTTCCTCATTGATTTGTAAAGTACTTTTAAAGTGTCCTTAGAATTTAATAATTACAAGATACTGAATTATTATATGAGATGAAACATATAAAAGTATTTGTGAAATAACAAAAAAGAATCATTTCTGTTTTTTTTCTCTTTTAATAAATAAATAAAACAAAAAAAAAATTTTTTAATTATATTTTGTAAATAAGTGTCATAACATGTATCCATTGTTGTAGCATGAAAAAAAGCTTATTTTAACATTTTAAAATTGTTGTCTAATTTTGTGTCAATTTTTTTTTTAACTACAAAATGAACAAGATAATTTATGTACTGTTTTTTAAGTGGTGGCTAAAAATTATTAGAAATGTTTATTAACTTTGATAAACTATTTTTTTTTCAAACGAAAATGAGGTATTTAAAACATTTTTAATTCCGGTTTTTTAAAAAATAATGTACTGTAAAAAAATTATAACTGACTAAAACTGTCCTAAAGTGTCCAAAACCTTGAACATTGGTAAAAGATAAAAATTCTATGTGTGTAACCATTGTACAATAATTACATATATTAATAAATATTTGATACTTTTTATACAATTTGCTTTAACTTATTAAAGGAAAATAATATAATTTAAAAAGAAAAGATTTATAATTTTGAAAGCTCCATAATTCATTGAACAACAGAAGTGAATTCCTTATCCCATAAATATGAATAAATATTCTTTTAATACTGATAAATTATGTTTTTGCATAAGGATAAATAATTGCAATATTAAAAATAATAATAAACTTTTTAATGAAACAAAAACTTTTATGTTTCTTGTTCAAAAATTAACCTTTTTTTTCACAATATTTTTTTTAAAATTGTTACATAACTTGAATAAAAGTGTTTTGGGCAGGACAGTTTAAACCGTGGATTAATTCTTTCTGTCCTAAACCTTGCCAACTCTAGTTTTATATTTATTAGTTTGCAAAATAATTTTTAAATAAAAATTTGCAAATGAATTGTCAAGCATTTAGATATTTTTTCTTCTCTAGAATTGATTGCTTATAAAGTAGACTTGTACATTTGACTAAATTTCAGTTAAAAAAATAGCTTGCATAATTCCTTGACACAATTCGTTTATCAACTTGTAGTTGAGAGATGTGGTTAATGACTTTCTTTTGTAGTGTTTGCTGAACTGTGAAATCACAGTTTTTACCCCCAACTATTTCTAAACATGCACATGAACTAGATAAATTATTCATTTATTGTTCACTTTCATTTATTTTAGCATAAACTTTTTAGTATACTCTACTCAATTTGTAAAATCAAGAATTCCGGAACTCTAATATGTAGAAAAAAAAACAGAAAATATGGTAACATTCCCCGAATGTAGGAAGTATTTCCTTTATATATTTATTTTTTTAATTACTATACATTAAAGTATGGCATTATGACAAAAATTTGGTTAAATAATAAAATATATTTACTCAAAAGCTGATTAATAAAAATGTAAAAGTTTATAAACATAGTTATAATAACAAATATAATGTATTTATTAATAGGCAAAGATTGCACTAGATGTTATGAAGAGGCTGTTTCTGGTAGAACAAGAACAACTTCCATGGGAGAAGAGCCATTGATGATAAGTGATCCACGTAAAAGATTTCCTTCAATTTCAAGTGAAAATGAATTTAGTACTTTTAATAAATCGAAGAGAGAGCCAGCGCGAGTGTTTAATTCAGACCATACAACTCCTTTGGGATCTGACTTTGGTTATGGCACTGAAAGTCTACATAGTAGTCGAATGTCAGATCACACCTTAAGTGTTCAGTCTGATGTCAGTTATCACTCTTTGCACTCAACTCCCAGTCAAATGTCCTATGACTCTGGATATGCTTATAAATATAATGCCCAAAGCACTCAGTGCAAACCAATTCCACCTCCTCCAAATTCATCAAAAAACAATACATGGGATAATAAACTTCCTACCGTACCTTGGGGTGAAACTTCCTGCTCTTGGGATAATAATTCCCCGGGTTGGGACTCCCTTGCAAAACGGCATGTCACTCCACCTACCACACCAGTGAGTGTGCCAAAACAAAGTCCCATTAGAGAGAGTTTAGATACTAGAATTGAACTTCTTTTAAAACAAACAGAAGGAAAATCTAGCTTTTTAGACCTGGGAGCTGTGTCAGCTCAAATTGGAGAACTTTCCTCAGAGTCTTGCAATGACAAAGGCAAGTCCATGCGACCTCCCCTTCCATCATGGCCTCAGAGCTCTGGTCCTCCATTACCCCCGCCGCCAGACATGTCTCCTCAGCCCCCATTACCTGAATCTGATGAACCCCCTCCACCACCTCCTGAAGAAGATGATTTTGTGCTTGATTCTACGCCGCCATCTCCTTTTCTAAGTTATACTGAATACCATAAATGGGCTGTTGTTACCAATGACCTTGACTCTGGCAAATTAAACTCTCTCTCAGACATAGTTATTCGTGACGATCTACTTCTCAATCATCCAATCCCTCTTAAAGGAGTTAGATTATCAAATATTAATTGGAATGTAAAACTTGAACCAGATGAGAGACCTGATGAATCTCCTTTAATAGATGAAAAGGGAGATTCTACTCCTGTGCGTGATGAATTACCAATTGAGGATGATGATAAAATGTCGTTGTCTTCCCTAAGTGATGGTGAGAACAAATTAGAACTTCATATTCCAACTGTTATTGGGGGAGCAATTCAAGTTCCTCCTAATCAAAAACCACTTAATCATGTGCTTAATTCAGCTGTAGAAACAAATAAGTATGCATCATTATATCCACATCAAAATGGTCCCTCAGTGTATTCAGCATCAGATACGACCTCTACATATCCTTCATATCCTGGTGCGCCATCTTACGTACCTTCAAATGTTTATGGTAATCCTCCAGCACCAGGAACTTCATCATCATCTGCGTCTACCATTGTACCTCCTTATCTAAGTGGAAGTTCATCAGCTTCCGTTAGTCATCCAATGTATCCTAGTGAGCAAGTGCAAATGATGGCTCGTATGGGTATTTGGAAGCCAGGAATGGGATCTGGAATTTCAACTCCTGCGTCAAGCTATAACTCTAGTTACAATCATACTCCGTATTCGCTTGAAAATTATTATAACCGTTCACAACCTACAGTTCCACCTACTGCTCCTCCATCTTTCTCTGTTTCATCAGTGCCATTGCCTCCACCTTCCAAAATTGCTGAAATGATAATGAGACCACCTCCTGGATATCCAGTAGGGCCTCCTGGATTTTCTCAGCCTGTTGCTCCGGGTACTATGTCAGTGTTTCCACCATTTAGTCAGCCACCACCCATTGAAGTTAGAGATCCACATACTCCAACCATTAATGGTGTATTAGATGCAGTTGTTAAAGAAATGAAATTAGTTATGAAAAAGGATATAAGCAAACGAATGATAGAAATTACTGCATTTAAAAGATATGAACAATGGTGGGATGAGCAGGTACATAAAGAAAAGGTAAGTTTTTTAGATTTTTTTTAAAGAAAATTATATGTTCTGTTAATTAAATTGCATGCTCATAAATGTGATGAAAACTTAATGTAGTAACTCTTTGCTTTATTGCACATTGGGTTGCAATAAACTCTTAATAATATGTGTATATTGACAATTTCTTTTAAACCATGTGCATGTTTGAAAAACTATTAATAAATGTTTTACAAAAGCTTTGTTTAAAAAAATTATTATTTTATCTATCTGTATATCATTAGAACAGTTAAGAATCTAATATAAAATGGAAAATCTTTCAGCTTAAAACTCAAGGTGATGTTCCTATTAAAACACCTGAAAAAGTCCAAGCTCCTGCATTGTCATCAATCGGTGCTCTGTTTGATACAAACCGTTCATCATTTGGCTTCAATGCTGATCTTGCAAGTATTGGTCTTGGATTAAGAGCTACTATGCCAAGAATGCCTTCATTTAGGGTAATTTTTTTTTCTAATTTGAATGTTTGTTTTTTTTTCTCATAAACTATACATTAAATCTATCAATGTGTAAAAATGTTCTTAAAAATTTAAATTCTGCTTTGAGTTGTGTTTCAAGTGTTAAGCAATACCATTTTTTTAACAACAGTTATCAGTTTTATTTTTATTTTTTGGTGTGTGATTAAATATAGTTGCAAAACTACCTACTCTTCTGCATTTACATTGCATTTTCTGCACATTTCCTCATATCTACTTCTTTTTGAAAATATGCATAAGAATTTTGTACATTTTTAGAACTATTTATAAACTATTATTTGCATGAGGGCATGTATTCGCATGCTTTGCTCACACTATGACATCTTGAGTTTATGCTGTGCTTCAATCTGATTGATGTTGTAGGTTATTAATTAATTTTAAAATATAATATGATAGTGGAAAAAAGGATATTTTTTACTTCTATTTCATATTTATTTGAGCTGATAGTTTTAAAACATTTCAATACAATAACTGTACTCTTGATTCTTTAAATAGGGAATAAAAATTAAAAGCACTTTTAAGTCTTCTGCATTTTAAGTAATTCCTTCTACACTTTTATAGTAAATCTTCTGCAATTTAAAAAATTGGGGTTGGCAGGTATTTTGCATATATACAAAAAGCAGAAAGCTACGATATTTTTGATTTGATGATTGCATTAAAAAAGCAGAAGAATTGTAGACTGTGTAATCTATTATTTTTAACTATTGTCTTTTAAACAATGGACAACAAATAACATACAATGGACAATAGCCATTATCTTGGTTAATTATCTAAGTAGTTAAAGTTAATAATCTTTTGCTTGACTCAATAAGGATATAATACCATATACAACATAAAAACATCCATTACGATTTAATTACTTGATTGATTAATTTAATTTCATAAAGTTATCTTCAACTAATCCATTAAATAAAAAAAATTATAATTGACTCATTAAATGTCACTCCTTAAATCCTTATCAGTGGTAAAATAGTTTTCTTTATTTTCATGCCAAAAAAAATTTCTAGAATTTATGGAGAAACTATGCTTGCTACGAAAACATACAAATTTCACCTAGTGTAATACAACAGTTAAAGTTAAATAATAACTGCCAAATTGATATAAACTTTTTTAAAAATTATGTCATTTAGTACAATCACTTAATCTGTGCTCATTATGGTTCAGAAGTCTATGAGTAAATTGCATGTATTTGTGAGAAAATTTTTGTAAAGTATTATGGATGCTGTGAAAATCAATAGCACGTAGAGACACAGCAATTACATATTGTAGATGCCAGGGGTCTGTCCAGGCTAAATTTACTACCGTTTAGCAGTACCTTCACAAATTCAACTTTAGGGAAAACAGTTTCAAAAAATACTTTTTCTTAAAATTTTAATTTTGTATCCCGTAAGAAGCGATAAATCCATATTTTTGTGTTGATTTTTTAATATAATTTTTAATTTTCACAAATTATGTATAAATTTTCACAAAAGGTACCTCTCAGAAAAACCTAGACAGACCCCTAGATGCACACTTTTTCAATTTTGAGAATTTTCTTTAGCAACTTAATCCTAACTGTTTGATCCAAGTTTTATTAACCAACATTAAACTTCATGAAAGTTTTTGATCTGAAACAAATGGCCTACTTAAATAACAATGATGACTGTGTATTCAAAACTATTCCCAGGAGTGAGTGATTTATCTATAAAACTTGAGTTTACTGCATTCAAAAAATATGTTAAAGAAAAATCACCATTGTTAAAAAACAATATCATCAATGTTATTTAATAATGATGACTATGTATTCAAAAATATTCCAGGAGTCTATGAAACTTGATCTATCGATAAATCTTGCGTAACATATTATATGTTAAAGACTGTTTTAACCTTGACTTGTCATATTCTTGAATTTAGTTGTAGTTTCAGAGAAATGTTCACAACGTATAAGAAAAGCAAGGCAAGTACTGCCTAATTCAGTTAAAGTACTGTATTAATTTTTTTACGCCCAAATTTTTATGAAACGAAGGCAAAGTTGAAATAAATGTTCAATTCACTTAAAAAATAATTAAAAAAATCATATAAGATCTAAATATGCATATAAGAGAACTTAATTAAGACATTTACTGAATTAATTGAAAAGTTGCTTTCTATTTGTCTTTTAAATCATCATCTACAAACTGTCCACAAGGTATTTATATAGATTTATAAGCTATTGTATTTATATTTTAATATTTTTTACTGCTTTTTTATATTTTAAATGTACTTTTTCAGAGAAAAATTATCAAACCTCCATCACCTCCTCCTCTGGATGATGAGGACAGCAAAAAAGCTGAAGAATCTGGTATGGTCATGCTTCTGTATAAGCACTTGGTTTTTTTAAAACATATTGAAGATAAAATAGTAATTTTATTACTGTTTTTCAATAGATACTGAAAAGTTAAAATCAGAGTCTGATACTGAGTGCCGAAAATCTGAATCAGATGCAGAAAACTCGATTGCACCTAAAAGAAGAAGAGTTGTGTTTTCTTCAGATGAAGAAGAGCAGAGCTCTCAAGAAAGTGAAAGTGAGAAAGAAGAATCAGGTAGGCATCATATAAATATTTTAACCCGAACATTTTATTTTCAGAAGTGCTATTGTGTGTGTATGCTAGCAAAGAGCTGTTGGAAATACTATTGAGTTCTAAGCTTTTCTGGAAGGGTTCCTCACTCACAATTTTGTTTATTTATATTTAATCAATGGCGATAGAAAGATGTCACCTTATAGAGATAGTCACCTTATGTCAATCCTTGGTGCCTGTTGTCTCCGTTGTTGTATTTTTAAATTTTCCGATGGAGAAAGCCATAGCACAGCTAAACTTGTGATTATGTGTATTTTCCATGCATTTAATTATAATGTCATGTGCAGTTGACATTGTTTTATTTTTCTGCACCTAATGTAAATGTATGTAAACAAATTTGTTTGTACTACACTCACTCTCACTGTTTAGTTGCAAAAACTCTCTAGTCATGCAAAAAAATTTCTCCGTCCGTTTAATTGAACTGAATTTCATTTAATGGAACTAAAATAATCTTCTGTCTAGAGAGAAGAAGAAAAAAAAACCACATGTTAAGAAGAAAAAAAATTTGAAAGATAAACTATCTTATCATAAAGTTTCTAAGAAAATTAAGGATAATTTCTTGCTCTAACAATCGTATGTCTGTAATGTCATTTGTTTGGGAGAGTTTTATGGTCACAATGCACTCTTCATCTTTATTATTTTCTTCCTGCTATTCTCATTTTTCTCTAGAGTCTGCTTATTCCATTATTGAGATTTTGTATCCATAGGCTCATAATGTTATCCAGTATAACTACTTATCTCCTAAGCCATTAAATTCGAAATTTAATCCCATATAAATTGTCTTTATAGACATAGTGTTAAATTCAAGGGAAATTAAATTATAATTTGAGCATACATAAAAGATACTTTTTTAAGTTTTAATATTTATGTCATACGTGAAAAACAATGAGGTTTACACAGGGTTGCCACTCCAAAGGGAAAACCTGGAAAATGCAGGGAATTTAAAAATCACCTAAAATAACAGGGAAAATGCAGGAAATTTTGATTTTTTTCTTTACAAACTGGGAAATTTGTTTCTTATTTTTGTCTTTACAAACTGGGAAATTTGTTTCTTATTTTTGTCTTTTCAAAAAGGTGACCACTCAAAGCGTAATCTATGGGATGTTTAACCATGATATTTCTTAATATGTTGTGAATAATTTGTACAGGGAAAACACAGTGAATTTTTTTTCCAGATTTGAGTGGCAATCCTGTAAACAAATATATCATAGATATGTGGAAGGTTTTGCTACTGTTTTATGAAAATCTTTTTACTTATGTTTTTAAATACAGTGTTTAATATTTATTGTATGTATATGTTATCTTGGTATATGTATAATATATAACATTTTAAGCTTTAAAAAATTAAAAACCCGTTAAGTACTTTTATTCTGTAACTAATTAATATCGTATATTCACTGTTAGACCATAATAAAAGAAAATTTATGAACTTTTTTTTTCAATTTGTAGGTTTTTTTAATTTTATTTATTTTTTAAGTATACTATTAATGTTCTATTTGTTTTAGATGAAGATTCAAGTTCTGCAGAAGAAAGTTCTGGTAGTGAGAGCGATTCTGAAGAGTCTGATTTTGCATCTGGTGAGAGTGAAGGAGAATCTGCTGATGAAGAAGTTGCTGAGTCTGCAATGAGTGATGAGGATAGTGTGCTGGCACAAAAACAAGTTACTCCCATCAAAAAGGAAAAAGAGCGTATAGAATTATTGGAGTCACAAGAGGCCAAGATTGATGTTACATCAAATGAAAAATCAGTGTATGTTATACTTATTGCTTTTCTACCACCTATGAAATTAATAGACATTATGAGATGAAGCCAGATTTCTATATAATGTCACCCAAGAGAAGATTGCATAAACCTAAATTGCAACAAAATTAATAATCTCATTGAAAACTATTAGGAGTTAAGGAACAGGAGTGTGAAATAAATACCTGATTAAACATTCAAAATTGCTTAATATATATAAAATGATGGCATGAAAATTATAAATTCTGACTGAAATCACCTGGATGCCAGTTTGCGATTTAGGTAGCACAAAAAAAATGATTGGAAGAGAAGGAAAAAAAAGGGAAAATTATTTGTAATTTTTATTAGACCTAAATATTATTGAATTTAATTACATAAATAAGAATTTATTAACTGAAATTTGCTTATCCTTTTATTTCCCTAGTCATGCTTTTTATTGAATGAAAACTTTAGCCTAATTCCTGTTCAACATCTATGTTTATAACACTTTTAAAATATGTTTAAAACATCGTATTAACATAACATATTGAAGAGCATGTATTTGCCAATTGTACTTAATAATTCAGTGATATCACTTCTGTTAATGAAGCCTAATACTTCTTTTTTAATATTGCTTAAAATTACTGATTTGTTTTGTTTTTTCAACAGATCATTAATAGGTTTATTCACAGCAATAATAGTGCATTCTTTACANTAAAACTATGGAAATTACAGCCTACAATTTTCTTAAGCAAAACCAAAGGAACTAACTTTTCCTACTAATAAAAAAAAAACAATTTTTTTGAAGGTCTTATGTATGACTGGATTATGACAGCGTATTATTATATTGAAATTGTGAAATGAAAAAGCTAAGTGCATCTGCAAAAAAAAAAAAAATTAGAATATGTTTAAGCTAAACCGAAGTATTTAAATAGTTAAGATTCTAATATGTTTCAAAATAGATAAAATTATCTGCAGTTAAATTATGTCTACCATAAAAAAGAAAAAAACTAACATGGTGGGGAAGCAAGAAGTTTTTTTAATTTTAAAAATTGTGTGGTTTCTATTCAGTTTTATTTTCATTACATGGACTATTGTTTGCTAATGCCTTTTAAATGTTGTAATTAAATTTTTAATTTCATTATGTTTTGTATTTATAGTTTATGTAATAATATAATAAGGATATAACCATCCTTTCATTTGGAATTATCATTTATTTTTCAGAAAAACCTCCTTTGAAGGTGTTCTGGATAATTCTAAAAAGAAACCCAGAGATAGTCTCACTAGTTGTGATGAGGAATCATCTATTGCTGAAACTCCAGTTGTTACTGCTGAAGAAGAAACTGAGCAAGAAAAGATGGATATTAGTGATGATCTTGATGATATTTCTGAAGGTGAAATAGCTCCAAGTGATAAAGAAATTGAAGAAGATAAGGAAAAAGAGCAGACAGATACCATATCAAAACAAGCTGAAAAGAGTACTGAACCCAAAACTCTTAAAGAAACTGTGTGCGACAGTGACACTGACTCCACAGCGAGTGACACTAAAGGAAAGGAAGAAAAAATAAAAACTACTAAGGAAAAACCTATGGAGGTTGAAACTCTTGAAACAGAAGCACCTAATGATATAGTACAAGAAGCTAGTCATGAATTTAGCCACTTAGAAGCATCGGAAGCTTTAATGGAATTGGCATCGTTCTATTCGGCGTTTGATCGTCAGGACATTGCCAAAACTGCTAAAGAAGCAGAAACCATCGGCAAGTCTGATGCTAAAAAAATTGATGAACAAACTAATGACTTAACTAACGGTGAGCTAGATTTTGATTCGGAAGCAACTTTGTCTGCTGATGAATCTAAGATGTATGAAAACATGAACAGTGAGGAAGAATACATTTGTAGCTTAGAAGAGTATGATGGCAATCATGTTACGCAAATGATTCACGAACATAGTTATTGTGTTCCTAAGTTTATAAGGACGCCTAAGCTTCCTCCTCCTCCGCAGCAGTCTATTCTTAAACCGGTGCAAAAAACTAGTGATAAAACTAGTAAAAAAACAGTTACTCTCCAAGGTGGGGATCATGAATATACTAGAGCACGAGTTGTAACTCCTCCATTTGTGAGACCTGAATCTCCTGTGAAAGTTGTACCAAAGAGAAAAACAAAAGTTAAGAGAAAGCGACGATCTAGCAGAACTAGTTATAAAGAGAATTATGAGGAAATTAGACAGACTCCCGAACCCCCTTCGACTTACACGGGCTTCACGAAACGAAGTGTCATTGAGGAGATGTGTGTTCTTTATGAATTTTTGAAAAACGGTCTTGACCAGGAAGATACCATGTACCTGCAAAGAAGTTACGAAGCTTTATTGCAGGATGATACCCAAGGATTCTGGTTAAACGATACCCATTGGGTGGATTGTCCAAATATCCTTTCGATTTCATCATTCTATTTATATTTATTTATTTATTGTTTTCTTGTCTGTCTCTTAATTTTTTGTCATGTTTTTGTGAACATTCGTGACTGGTTACTAACCATTGATTGCTTGATAAATCATAAAGGTATTTTACAAATAATCTGCATTTAAGCCTACTTCTTACCTATATAATAAAATAAGTTGTATATATATTATATTAATATAGAAATGAGTTTATTATTTTTGCTCTTAGTTTCATTTTTTTTTTATTATTATTATTATTTATCTATGTTTGATTATTCAATTTATATTTTAGCATTTCTTTGTAAATTTCCACAAATTTTAAAATAACTAAAATGGATTGTTTTAATAAATAAATTTTCATACAATAAATATTGCATTAAATAAAGTTTGAAAATATTACTATACACCTTCAAATCCCATTAAAGTTGTAAGTTCTTAGACATTTCTTAAGCTGAAAAAATAAGCATGAACTTCATTGATGTTTTAAAAAAGTAAAGAAATTTGTTAAGATCAATGATAGAAATTTATTTTGAAAAATCAAAAGCTTATCATTTTGTTTTTGAAAAAAGTTAGAGGTATATTAAAAGGGAGAAAAAGTTATTAAATTGAAATTAGATGGAAAATTACTGAGAATGCAGGACTCGTAATTGTCCTGAAATTTCCTGATAAAAAGTATTTTGCTGTAATTACTCCTGATTTGTTGCTTTTTGTCCTGATTTTTGTGTGTGTTGAGAACATACCATTTCTTTTAATTCACGAGGAAGGTGGACTTCTCAATTATAGGTTTATCTCTTTCATGATTGATTCCAATCAAAATTACAATAATCGTACCATAGAATTTTTAAGGGTTGAATTGAGGAATCATTCTCTAAAATTACTTTTGAGCACAAATCTTCAGTGGCATATTCACATTTATGTCAAAAAAATCTTAAGTGGCATATTCGCTTTGTTTTTATTTCAAGATTATTATATTCCTACTTTAAGATTATTTGATTAAGGACATCTTAACTCAATAGCAAATTTTAGTTATAATTGATATGAGAGAATATTAACTAATTAATAATATTTTTTTTTTACGCAATAATCTATGCATTGACTTGAGACTATTAAAAGTTGTTCAGTTTAGGTAAAATTATACTTGAAAAAGATAAAACTTTCAATTCTAAACATTGTAAATCTGATAAAAATAGTATATTTTGTTATTCTTTTGTGTAAAAATTTGCATTTATTACATTTAAGTAGAGCAAATTATGTATATATATTTTTTTATTTGTTGTTTGCCCTTTTTAAAAGTAGTAAAGTATATATACTGCTCCAAAAAAGTGTCCTGATTTTTTTTTTTTTTTCTGAAAAGTTTTATTTTAAATTTTTATTTAAAAGAGACTACCCTTATTTTATCTTAGGCCCACTATGGAGCTTGAGAATGTCATTTTTGGTGTTGTCAAAGGATGCTATTTTGTGGCAGAAGCAGACCAAAATGCCATAACAAAAAACCAACTCAACATCCATCCCATTACATTTAACAACTACAATAATTTCATTTTGGTCCAAATCTGATTTTAGTTTTTCATTATTCCTGTAAGCTCCTATCCTGTTCCAGTTATTGAGAAAACCTATTAACGTGCAAGGGTTTGAATTATCTTCTAACTTTGAAAAAAAAAAATATTTTTATTTCTTTTCATTATATTAGCTACTGCTGTTTCATCTTTAGGCCTTCATCTTTAATCAGGTTTTTTTTTTTTTTTGCCTTATTTAATCATTGTATTTTCTCTGAACATGCTTAATTCTAATATATATGTAAATAAAGAAATATATATATATGAATGTTAAATTCTTGTGTGTAAGTCTTGTAATCAGTAAATAGGAGGGGCAAAAATGTATTCCTTTGTTTTGAAGTTCTGCGGCATGGATCAATCTTACAAATTGTACTAAATTTGGATTGTGTTCTACACACTGAAAAAAGTGTCTACAGAATTAAGGGGGAAGAAATCCAGGAGAATTGCCAACATAAAATTTTTGTGCATGCATTGCGTACAATCTGCGATTTTGAAATATCATTTTCGTGTTCAGAAACATGATGTCACTAAGTTGAGGATTAAGGGCAATCCACCAGAAAGTGGAGGCGAAAGGAAGTTGCATCCTGTAAAAAGGAAACCAGTACATTCCTGCCCGTTTCCTTGTGAATTCCCTTTTTTTTATCAGTGTTTTCCCATTTTCATAGGGTTTTTCAGTCTGTTGTGCAGTATTATTATGACCGATATATTTTAAATTTGGCATTCGCGATATGAATTTTCCGCTACTCAATTTCATATAAATCAAATCAATTCTTAAAATTGCTTCACATTTCAACATACTTTTTTAAATTTTGATGTTTTCATTACAATATTTTTACAGTGTTTAATATTTTCACAATAGGACAATTAACAAATTTTTTAGAATGTTTTTTTTTTTCATTTATAATTATTTTTGGATTATATTGTTCCTGCTTAAAAATTGGAATTTTTAATTAAAAACTTATGAGTCTTGAAAAATGAATTTCATGTAATGCTTACTGTTATATGCTTTGCTTTATTTTTTAATCTTTTTCATAATGTGCCCCTTTTAGTTTTCAGCACTCTGAGAATAAACCTAAACATAACTTAGCAGTGTGAATGATTTTATTATTATAAATTAAAATATTTAAATGTTATTCCAGTACATGTCCTAATTACTTATTGAACTGATTTAAAGTGTTTAGCTAAGATATTTAATTTTTATTACATTAAGATTTAAAGCAATTTTTATGTGTTCTTGTTCTTTTTTAATAGAAGATTTCAAAAAATATATTAGTTCTTTTCATATAAAATAACTAGTTAAAGTGTATTAACAATATATACTATACACTTTCAATGGTTCTAAATGGATGGAAGGCTAAGAAATTAATGTAATTAGTAACAACTATAAATTATGATAATGTTCTAAGCTTAGTGAAATATTTTTCAATTTCTGCAGCCAACCACTTATAAATTAAGAGAAATCCAAAAGTTTAAATAAAGAGAGGTCAGTGCCAAAAAAATGTTTTTAAATTCATTTAGGTACAACATATACACCGAAGAGCCATTACATTATGACCACCCTGCTAATAACATGTAGGACCATCTTTAGCCCTCAAAACTGCTAGCACCCGTCGTGGCATTGATTCCACAAGGTGCTGATAGGTAGTCTGAGGTATCTGGTACTAAGCGCTCACCAACTGGTCCTGCAATTCCTTCACATTGCAAGGGGGTAGCGTGGCAGCACGAATTTGGTTTTCCAAGTAGGACCACAAATGCTCTATTGGATTAAGGTCAGGT